GTTCAGCCACAGTTTTTATCCTGTTAAATCATCTGATGCACCAAGGATTCATTTAAAGCGCAAATATACCTGAAGCATGGAGCAAGCACCCGCACCAGCAGCACTCAGAGTACTCCAACTATGATAGTGGTAGTGCCACTGTCGGAAACTTGCTCGTGTACATCACCTGGTGATATCGGTCTATTGGTGTTTCACCAGCGATGCGCACTTGTGATCTGGATATGCCCACCCTGCGCTGTATTGTGCAGGAATAGAGCCCGGTGATCTTATGGAAAGTTTTTACACTCCACAGAGAGCTGTCAAACCTCTCTGCATATTCAGGAAATAATTACAGATACTGCAATAATGAAAATGAGAAGGCTGATATAGCACGCATTGCAAGAAAATTGCTCTTCCGAACATACCAGAGTGTTGGTATGCAATTTTTTGTCATCATGGTTATACGAGGGGGTACGAAAAAGTAACCAGAATCGCACTGTGCTGGGCTGCACAATTCTCTTGCTAAGCGAGCCTTGCCGCACATTTATTGAGTTCACAGCATTCAGTGGATTCTGAGGGCAGCTTTTTTATGGCCATAGTGATTTTTTTTTCATGAGTTCAATTTCACACTCTTAGTGTTTTTTGTGAAAGCCGCTTTAGTGAACTTAGTGAACTGTATGAGCACTTATCTTTTTTTCCCAGTGGTAGGAATAGCACTATAACTCGTTACGAGTAACAACCTTGAAGTGCAAGTATAGATGGAGCTGTTCTTTCAAAGCATAGACTCTTCCCACAAAGCATCTCCTTGTTCGTATGTTGAAATCTCTCAACAACACTCATCAACCTTAAATCTTCTGTTAAAATTCACTGAACCGAGCTACAAGCTATACTACATAACTTCTACAACTCATCTATGGTCTACCGATGATTTTTGAGCGTGAGGGCACAAAATGTTTTGATATTTTCATCTATTTGTGAACTTCGCGGATATCCAGGTCTAGTTCCTTATGAATGAAGATTTCCCTCTTTTTTTGAACAGAGAAAATTGTTCCTACTTAAGTTTTTCCCATTGCAGCATCTTCACATGACAATGATGACGAGCTTCAACATGGGAAATACCCAAAATGAAGACACAGGAAAACTCAGGCAGGTCAAAATAAACTAAAATCAGAAGCGAAATCAATGTCATCATCCAGAATAGCAGTGTCACAATTTCCTTAACATAGTAGCTCACACAACTGACACCGCTGTTATAACTGCCTATGTCGGCACGTCTGTGGGAGATGTCCTGGTGCCTGCCATGTGACTTGGGACACCTTGGTTTCGGAGACAGGCACAGTGCGACCATGAGCAGAGCACTTCACAAAAGGAAGAGAAGGGTGCCAGCAACTGAGACACGCAGCAGAGGGGTGACCCAAAGCCGGTGCGGACTTCACATCAGGCTGCTGTGTTTCGGTCATAGCAACGAGGTTGCCAGAAACAATTTTTTTTCCCTCACAGGGGGGCGGGGGGGAGAGAAACTTGCCAAGTCTCCCACTTTCACTGCCTGACTCGATGAGAGTGTCACTGACCACTGGAACTTTGCTGAATCAACAGATGCAACATACTATCTGCAATGGTACTGTGTGATTGGTTAATGTCCTAGTGGGTGGTGATTTGTGTGTGACTGGCTGCTTTAAGGAAGGAGGGGCCAGCCTGAGGTTTTACTACGGTGCTGAGCAAAAGCAAATGCTCTAGGCCCTAAAAATATGGCTCATATAGTCACTTAATGCTGAACTCTTTATTCTGGCCTTTTTACTATGTAAATAGGTTGACAAAAGGGCCATTAAACATGTTCTTTGTTTTTCCAACTCCTCAGCATCGATTCCTCAACCTCAGTCATTCTACCCAATGGGGTCCGGGCCCAACGCAACCCCGATGCCACAACAACTGGAGGCAGTGATGAGATCAAAAGCTACGAGTGATATCAACGGTCGGCCGGCAAGAACGCATTAGTCTCTATACAATAATACCTCGTTGACTTGAACTCTCATATCTCGAAAAATCGGCTACGCCGAAATTTTCCGTGGCACCAAACCTGTTCTTATACGCTACGCCATGTATATTTTTCCCTTTATCTCGAAGTATTTTTGGGTTGGATTGCAGATAACTTGAAATCTTGGCTGGGAGTGGAACAAAAATTCCACCCCCGGACCAAGATTCGCACGATGCTGCCACGCCTGTAGTTGGTTGATTTTTTTTTTCTTATTTAGCCACGTCTGCTACTATGTCGATGCTTTCTGCGGACGCGAAGTCTCAGCCAAGCAACATATGCGTGTCATGCATATGCGTGTCATGTAAAACATGATACATGCTACGCTCATAGCACGCTCAAAGCCGTTTCGCTAGCTCCACATATACCAAATTTTGTTTTACGTGACATGAATGCATGGTGACGGTAAATGACACGTCCAAACATGATAATCATAATATGCGTGTCATGTAAAACATGACTACATGCTACGCTCATAGCGCACTCGTGGCTGTTTTGCTAGCTCTACATACACCAAATTTGGTATTACATGACGTGAATGGACAACGAACACAAATGCCAGGCGCAAGCATGATAATCATGACATGGAAGTCATGTACGGTATAATTTACGTCCGCCTTGTAACGTTTTGCTGATTAAGTGAAATATCAATCTTTTTCATTCGTGCTTCGCATATCATCAATACCCACTGTACGTGGGATCCGCCAATTTTTTTCACAATGGAGTTGGTTTAAGGCACAACTTCTCGTCTAGCTTGCAAGGCGGGTTATTGCCTTTGGCGGGCCACCCTTTTGCCACCGCCGCCAGAACGGAAGAAAGGCAGCCGCCTCATTTTGTGGAGATAAGAAGCAGCGCCAAGATGCCCTGCTGTTTCCATGTACTGGACGCTGTGTGGCTGAAATTACTCTACGAAGCACCTCTGTCCTTCGGGTCTGCGCAGAAATATGACACGTGGCGTCTTCGTGCCCCGGTAAAAGCCACAATGCCGAGCTTCCACCGATTACTAACGTCGGACTACCACGCTGCGTGTCTCTGACTGATGAGGCGCCGACGCTCAAATTAGTACCAGATGTCCATGTATGGCCCCTCGGAGGCGCCTAGACCGCAATCGCCATTCGATAAAACTTGGGTGGTCGGTGCGAGCGGTGCGATGACAAACACTTTTCACCGCGCTCGCTGGAAGCAAGATTCGCCGGAGGAGGCAGCATCGCCAGGACCATACATGTGTTTGGTTTGTGTATGTGTGTTTGTTGGGGGCGGTGCTAGCATAATGACACTCGTGTGTGCTGCGGGACATGTTATTAGACAGTGCCGTATAGACCTATTCCCTCACCTAGGGATCTGGGGAGATGAGACTGTATTTATTCAGCCCTCGCAGGCTGCTTAGTGTGGTTCACGGAGCTTGTTCAATAGACAGCCTTTTTCAATGTAGAGCTTTCAATGTAGAGCTTCGAGCCAGAGAGCCCGTGCTGTGTAAATAATGTAAATTAATCCTCTCTACGAAGTTCCACCTCCTCCTGCCTCGACATCTTGATCTCAGACCTCCGGTGCCGCAAACCCCGGTCGCAACAGCGTTCGACTAGACTAAGTAAACACGGCACATGCTCATGGCGTAGCAATGACAATAGATATCTATCACAGGGACGACTGAACTTCGAGACAAAAAAACATTATGTGTGCTGTTGCTATGGCAAGCAACGTGGTCGCCAGCAACGCCAGTGTTCGCAGCCCGTCGAGTTCATTCGTGCATGAATAACATGGCGTACGCTTTCAGTTTTAGTTGCTAACATGCCATAGGTATGTTTGCTGACTAAGAAATTTATATTTACTGTGAAGCATTGGCAGCTACGGAAACACATTTTTTTCTTGCAGCTGTGTCGTATCGCTCATAGGTATCCACTACGGGCAGCCGACCGATAGGCGCACAGCATCGTTACTTTATCTGGTCAATCCCATCTCGTGAGCATCCTGACCTAATGAGTATACCTATATTTTAGACCGGAGTACAGGGTTAGGGTCTCCATGCTTGGATTGATTGATTACACAAAGTGCCAGTGGCCAACGTGACCTCTCTTTCTCGCTAAAATTAGCACAACTGAAAAATATTTGAGGCTTGTTGAGTATTTTGGCGCAGTGTAACGCAATTTCAGCAAATTTCATGGTTTTGATGCAGCTCAGTACAAAAACGTGAAATTGTAGTAAATTGGATCAAATTGGTGCAGTTGTTGCACCCCTGACTGTCTATTCCTACCCCCTGCTTTATTCTGCTAAACCCGGAATATTTCTTATCAATTCACAAATGAATGCGAGAACACAATCACTGCACAACTGCTAACAATCATGTCGCAGAAGGTACGCATTCCTTTTTGATCATACTGAACAGCATATACCCGAAAGTACTGTAGCAGATGACAAACCGTTTTGCTATCCACCTATTTACACTCTTGGTGGCCCCACAAGTATGAAAAACCACATGAAGCGCCAATTATATGATGCAAACGCGAGTGTACCTATGCCTACAGTGAAGCAAAGTTGAACGCATTAATGGCTACCACGGCCTCATGCAATGCTTTGTTAAATCGAACCAGCGGTTGTTCGCATCAGCAAGAACTTGAAACAGCCACAGCTCGCTGCCTTTTTTGCACCTGAATAAAGTTCTGCTTCACTGAATACACTGTGTTTTAAGATTCCTCAGAGTTGTGGTGCAATTAAGGCTCAACTGCTCTAGTTTTTCTTAACTGATCACTTATATTGAAATACCACTTATAACAATTTTCTCACCATCCCAGTCACTTTATTATAACAAGGAATTAATGTGAACGCCAAAGTTGTACCATGAACGTAACAATATGTAGAATGAAAAGCAGAAAAAAAATTTAGTTACTGCATACATCATGACATATGAAGGAGCAAGAACATAAAAGAGAAGAAAACACTGTCACAAGACCTCTTATACACATGAAGCAAGCACGAATAATGCAACAAATACCTTATGAACAGTTTCATCCACAAGGCCTCCAATAACGTAAACAGTGTTAGATTCCAAGGGTGTAGATGGAAGGGCCTCAGGTGCATCTGGACTTAAGTAGAGCAGCGACTCCTTAGGGAAAAGCTGGGAATGACTTTCTGCTCTCATCTCCACCTATTGAAAAAGAAAAAAAAAAGGAAACTATGAAGCCTCGAGAGGCAGACACGTAGCTAAGAGGGGGCCCAGGGGAGCCCGGGCCCCCCTGAAATTGAGACGGTGCCACTTCGATTTCTCGAGTGCTCCCAAACTTCCACGGTGTTGTTGCTCAGTAGCGTGTTCTGCGGAAAGAATTAAAGGTGCACTTATGGCGCCTTTTGATACTTTTGTTGTTGTTTTATTGTTTCTTTTTCGAAGCACACGCTCTGTCGCATGCGAACCGTCTGCACGTCGCCCCCTGGTTATCATGCTGCCGTTTGAAATCTGGGACGTGAGCTTAGTTCTCTCATTTGTGACAAACGCCGTGCACATGTACACTTTCGTAGAGCCCCATGCATTTTTTGCAGCTGCCGGCGCAGAATCGTCTAACACCCGAACAAAGGGAAAATCAATGGCGCCTGCGGCTGTCCCGAATGGTAAGGCGTGATTCAGCCCCAACATTTGACGCTCTATCAGACCAAGCAAGATTGTGTGGAGGGTTCCTCTGTGACAACAGCTCACAGCCCCAAACCGAAGATGTCTGTGCGCTATCTGGACGATTGCTTCTGTGTGGTGAAGTCTGGCGAGGTCGACAACTTGCTCCCTGCCTGAACTATGTTGAGCCTAACATCCAGTTCACAGTGGAAAGAGCGAACCATTCAGCTCTCCCCTCCCTAGATGTATTAGTGAGAAGGCAATAACAGAAACTGTTCTTTTCGGTGTTCAGGAAACCCACCCACACAGGACACTACCCCCATTTCAGCTCGAACCACCCCACATGCCACAAGCTTTCTGTGGTGCAAAGCCTTTTTCGGAGGGCCAAAATTTGCTCATCACCACAGCGGTGGAAGAAGGAAAAGGATAGAATCGTCAGTGACCTCCGCGCCAACAGGTACACAAAAGCGTTCGTTCGCCGAGCCCTCTGGAAGAGTAAAAACGCGGCACCTGCATCACCGCAACGACAACGCGTGTCAATACCATGCATCTTCGGCGCTGCGACACAGTAGCCCACATACTGAGAAGGGTAGGGGTGAACCTCACACACAAGCCATCCACCACCATTGGCAGCTTCATCCCTCTCCCCAAAGATGTGGAGAAATCTCAAGGGGTCATATACTAGAACCAGTGCGCCGACTGCCTCGCTTCTTATATTGAGCAAACAAAGAACTTCCTTGAAAGAATGTGACAGCATGAAAACGACCTTCGTCAACTGAACAGCCAACGAAGCGCATTATCAGAACACTGCGAGCGGTTTGACCACCAAATCTAACTGGACGACGGAGTGATTCTGAAAACCATGCCGGCGACTCCTCCTCGAATATTGGCACATTCAGCAGACAGCGGGGAATATCAACCGCTCCACTGGGACATTGCCCTCCCTCTCCTGCTAGGGTTTTCGACGGGTCGCCGCAAACCTATCACGCAAGGCGAGCAAGCATACATAAGTGCCGCACATTTCTGGCTTTCTCAACCCTGAGGAAGAATATGGTCTGGCTTCGAAACGTCGGGTTTTCAAATTGTCTCATCTCAGCCATTGTTGTGATGGGCCTCCATGTCTTGGCGCCCCCTGGACGCGTGGGATGGTTTCGGCTACATCTGCCCTGATTTTTTCCGGCTTCACAATGTTCTCCGAGGTATCCAGAAGCCCCGACAACACGACAGTCATACTGCAAATTCTTCAGGCCCGTCGGCTCCCTTCATGAAAACGTTTTTGGACACACCCAACCGACTGGTGGCCTAGGAAGGGCTATTTGCAGTGAGAACTGCTTAGATGGGTTGGTCCACTCTGCACTACTTTGTTCATCAAGATGCACCAGACAATGAGCCGAGTGTCTGGGATGTGCCTTCAGGGAGTTTCCCATGTTCCGTGGTGCCTTCATGTCTTCGATTCTTGCAAACCGCTGCCTGCCCCACACCACAGCCACATCGATGAGTCAGCAGTGCACGTAGGACACTACATCATTTCAAAGTGCTGTGTCATGCTGTATAATCACTTTGTGCCTAGTGTTGCGCTTCTCCCTCGCCGTGGGACGAACTAGACGTGCCTCTTCCTTCTTTTTGTTTGTTTGGAAAGGAGGAGGTGTTTGGCCTTTCCATTTGGGGTGAAGATGAAGACTGCTTCTTTCATTGAGCTGCCTTGGATTCAATTGTTTTCCCCAGCAGGGAATATTAGGCAGACCCAGGCTTTAAAACGCGAGCATTGAGATGCTGAAAGGATGCAATATCACGCGACCTTCAACAGGTAAAACACTGTGAATAAACGTTCCAGATATTAGCTTCAGCTCCTATGCTCGCCTTTGCCCTGAGACTTGGATGGCTCCGGTCCGGAATAATTCCCCCAGTCGCAACATCGTGGAGAAAAATGATGCCAGCCAGGTGTCAACTTCAATGCCCAGGAAGCGACCAGGGTCAACGATGAAATTGACAAGCATCTTCGCTAAAGTTCTAAAGGTGAGTCCCGTGTTTTTTATTGTCTTTGCTTGTTACGTCCGCTTAGAAGAGGGCATTTAATCATTTCTCGCTTGTGAGCTTTGAGCAATAGTATGAGAATGTTTTTGCCATAAATTTCTCTGTCTGAGATGACTCTTTAAACAGAATAAATGCAGTTCTATATGGTTGAGGAGTGCATTTTTATTAAGTGTGCTTGTAATAGGGAAACATAAAGTAATAAAAGACTATTGTTAAAAAAAACTCGTGCATTTTTTTATTCATATCATCCTTCTAGGAAGCAAGCCTTGCTGCATTCCACTTTCTTATTTTCTTCGAATAATAAGCATCTTCTATATTCCCCAGCAACTTTCTTTTAAATTTCCATGTAAACACTTTTTTTCAAACAATTAGGCCTTGGGCCCTCCCACAAAAAAATCCTGGCTATGTGCCTGTCAAGAGGCATGTCCAAAAGCAACAAACAAAATAATACAGTGCACAGACAAGACAGAAATGTAGACCTGTGAAGGTGGCGAGCAAGTTACAACAATTTATATCAATGCAATGTGGTTACAGTATACACGTTGTGTAATAGAATCAAATTTACAGTCCCTTCAATAAATTAAACAAAAGGTGCCATGCAATTATGATAGAAAGAGTTATCAAAAAAAAGTTTAGTGTGCAAACGCAGATGCCATATAGTCGGGTACAACTTCAAAATGCAGCAGCATTTCCACCTCACACGCGGATGCACACAAGCATGCTCGGATGTCTGGCATCATGAGCCTGGTGGTAACTAACCGTGTCGTTGCCCGACATGCGGCATTGTAGAAAGTACAGAGTGATTTTGTTCGTGCAAATTAGCATCCACTGTCACATTCCCATAATGAGAGCTCTACCAAAACAGTCATCAAGCTATAAAGTTTATCCTGTTTAACGTAAATTTATTAATTTTAGCAAAATGAGAACATTAGTTGGACAGGACTATTTGTTTAGTCATGGATGCAATGAGCTGCCACACTACAATTATCTTGTCTAAGATAGAATCCTGCCGCCACCCCTGTTCCCGACTATATAACGGAAAACACGACGAAAATGACAAATATCATATGAAAGTTATGCCTGTGGTAAAATAGAAGCTAGACACAAAAATTTGGTCACCCTTAAGCTTCACCTTTAAGAGTTGAACGCGATAGCAAAATCCAGCCCCTAGTGCGCCCTTGAACCGCTAAGTGCATACTTACTAATATGTTTTGTCACACATACAAACAAACACTAGCAAGCGCAACGTATCTATAGTAATGCAGTGACTGTGCAGTATGACCACTTCCCTCTGCTATAGACGGTTTCACCAGAGCCTGCCAATCTCTATCAACATTGTGCGTTCACCAGAAAACAACCCCGGGAAACATTTGGTTTAGCTTGTTCTTGCGTGGTTTTAGCGTTTGTTGTTGGCCACGGCTCCTCGTGTTCCTATATTTTATGCAGATAAAATTATTCCGATGAAGCGCTCGCAACTCGGGCACAGCTTTATCATGTCAGGACGCAGTCTGCAAGCCTGAACTAACTTTATATGCTAGTCAAAACGTTCTCTTTTGATCACGAAAGACTGGATTCCCATTAAGAGCGCGTAGGCTTGTTCTCCCACTTCTTCCCAATGTAAAGCTCAGGGAACACTAATGGCACAGAGAGGATATTAAGACTTTAGATTAGTCAAAGGTCCCGGTTACCAAGAGCACATCAATCGCTGTCGTCTCCCACTCGTGGAAGATACGTGTACTGATGCGTGCAATGGGTAACAAAACGTGAAAGTGAACAGTGAAAATTTATCGCAAAGGTGTTTCTCGTATAATTTGAACGATAATACCGATGCGTACTGTTTGAAACAACACAGGGCACAAAGTAGCCATGCTCTACATGAATGGACGCACTGTGTACGTCGTGGTCTCCACGTTTTTTTGTCGTTGCATTTGATTGTTTTTTTTTTATAGCAACGCTGGCGAGTGGTCACTCATCTGTGCGAGCAAATGACTCGTCGCCAGTCTTTCTGCCACTAAGTAATATCCCTGCATTCTAGCTCATTTAGCTTTCGATGTGAACATGGCTTAGGTGGGTTCAACTTGAAAGTTTGATTCATGAATAGCTTACTCGTGAGTAAACCATAATAGTTCGCGTGACCAAGCCCCAGTGGATGACATCACATAACCAGGACATTTTATATTTTCTTGGTCACACGAACACTTTGGATCGCGAGAAAATCCAAACACCGGTGATCTAGAGAGTGCCCGGCATAACACAAGTGCAAAAGTAAGCGTTTTACCTAGAGGTTGTGTGCTTAGAGGAAAACACAAATATGTTCGGGGTTTGACAGGAGGAAGGTTTTCAGTTCTAGTCAAAAAGCTGAATTGAACAACTTAACTATGAATTGGGCAACTCTTCTCTTGCATGTCGACAATGTGGGAGCACTTTGAAGACGGGGAAAGGGAAAACACAGGTGTGCATTGTCCATTCTCTGTTTGCGTCTTCAAAGTGCACTAACATCGACATGCAGAACCAACTGGCCTAATTAAGTTCGCTGACAAGCTTCTCCTACAGGTGCGGCCACTGCCAGAGGTAACACAAAGAAGGGAGCTGCGCTCATCAGAAGATCACAGTGGGTATTCTGTGCAGCACCCATCGGCCAAGCGAGCCGTGTTACCTGCAGCAGTGGCCGCACCTGCCGTGCCGTGCATCGAGCCCCGTCATGTGGCCGCTAGACGTGGCACCAAATACATCCTAAAGAATGCGCCAGAAATAATAGAGCAGCAAACTCAAACACACCATGAAAACATCGCCGGAACCATTGAAGAAGCATTACCGGAAGTGGCGCGTCGGAAGTCTGCTGGGGTAGGCCGTTTGGCCTGAGCCAGTTTGTTTACAAACACCGAAGCCGTCTATAACGGCGCTTTGTTGTGGTCGAGACACATTTTTGACAGTGTCTCACAGATGGCACACAGACAAACTCACACATACACATGTGCGTGTGCGAATGGTACATACAGGTTTTTGATCTAAAGCAAGAGTTGCATGGCCTCCAAGATACACACTGGGCACCTGCCATCTCGGAGGCCATAAAGAGTCTCACAATGTCTCACAGATGGCAGCACATTATCTAGCATATGTTGTTTGCTTGATCATCGCCTCTGGAAAGGCATATGTTTTCCCCTAGATGTACATAGTTGTCCTTTTTTAGATATGTTTGAAAGTTCCTGTGTGTTTTTATCACGATGGCTGCACTATCCCAGCTTTTTTTTGACGTAGTTTGATGGCCTCCCAAATATGCCTACAAATCGCCGAATGGGCTCGTTTTCGTCGTGACACCTGTCGAACAAAATGCGTTAAGGAGACTCCTTCTACTACATGGCATTTATGTAGTGCTTTTTCCTAGAGCAGCTGCAAGTAACATCGTGGCTTTGTGGTAGGACACCTGCATGCCACGTGATTGGCTGGGGTTCGATCCTCAATGGGACCGAAAATTTTATTTGCTTCTTTCTCGATTTTCGCTCACGGACAATTTTTCGCTTATAACCAATGGTGCCGACGCCGACGGCGGAATTTTTGCGACACAAGCTCTGTAATGCTATCGCGTTAAAACTTATCAGTGCATGCTCCGAAACTTCAGTGCCACCTCACTATCAGTGACATGTGCAGGCCCGTGCAAAATATTAGCGTTTATGGAAGACCAGAGGTGGGACTGTAACACAAATAGTGCTGAGTTGAGCCAAAAGGGAGAGCTTGCTCCAGGTTGCTACAAAAGCCTCTCTTACAACATAATTGCTCCATGTCTGCTCAAAAAAAAAAAAACCCTGGTGAATATGTCAGAAAAAGCAACTTGATTTGAAAATAAAAACGAAGCTAAATACTGCACTGCCGTTTCCTGCAAAGTGGCTCTTTGGCATTTCTAAGGTTTCATTTTTCCTTTGGGACTTTGTGGGTACAAATGTTTTTAGCTGTGGCCTTCAGCTGACTAGCCATGGTGTGATTCTATAACTAGGCAGTCTAATAGGTTTTCTAGTGTGAACATGACATCTGCAGCTGTCAGCCGCTTCCCCGACACAGTAGTTGAAATATTATCATGAGTGAACGGTGAGTACCTTTATTCCTTGTTTACACTGGAAACAACATGCATTTCATAACTCATTCACAACACGCATTTCATACTTTGGAATTCATAACTCTTTTATGTTTTCCTCAGTGTGAACACTAGCAACAGAAAGCTCTCAAGACCTACACTAAAGCCTCATTATTTCGAACTCGGTTATTTGGAAATTTTGCTAATATCAAAATATTTCTGCGATCCCATATTTCACAATGTAAGTCTGAGTAGATACTTTGAAGCGGCAGTCATTATCAGTCGGGTTAATTCAAAAACTTTGGGTACCACGTGCCAATTCCTGATCCAGATTTTGCCGAAAGATCCCAGAAACAACCCTCAAGAGCCACAAGGCAATGCAAAGCAGCCATACTAATGAGTGGCAGCTGAAACACCCCCTCTACGTGACTTACAGCGCATAAAAAAAAGAAAAAAAAACGGCTTCACGGTCAACCGAACGTGCACCTGCGGAAAACAAAATGTGCTTCACTGCAACACAGTGGTGACGCGCGGGCATGTTTTTCACTATGTCAGCGCGTCATGATTTACCCATTCTTTCCGAGATTGTGAAGAAATATTATTAAAAGGCAGTTTGGCAGAATTCGCGATGTATGCGAATTTCCAACTGCTGGTTGCTCCAGAAATTTGCGCACTTGCACTTCTGGTGGGGATGTTGCCTGCAATCCTACTTGGAAAACTAAGTTCGAAAGCTTCAATGATGATCATTTTTCAATGATGATGTTTTCCAGCCAAGACATATCGCGAAGTCGGTCACACTGGCCATTATTAAATTCCTTATTTTACCAGAAAGAGTAGGCAAATGGTCACATCATGACACGCTGACGCCGCCAGAAGCTGGCAACATGCTGCCCACGTGTCACAACTGTATTGCAGTGAAGCACATTTTACTTTCTGCAGGCGCGCATTTTAGATTATCAGGAGTGCGTTTTCTTTTTTCTTTTTATTTTTTTTTTCGGTGGCATCAGCGAGGCCCGCCATTCCTTCGTGTTTGCAGGAAAATTAAGACCAGGTAATGGAGAAAACACAACTCTTAGAGTCGCAAACTAGCCGGCACAGCAAACAATCAGCCTTGATAACTTCTAATAATTGCATGTACCTTGCATCCCACTCTTCGTATGTTTTGTTAATTCTAAAACCCACTTAATTCAAAGATTTCTAGCGACCCCAGTAATTTCGAATTAACTAGGTTTTACTGTATATAAAAATGTTTAGGTCAAAGTACTCTTCGCATCTTTAAAATTGAAACTCGTCACCTTGTGTCCTGTATTTTTTCATCCTGTGTCTGTGCCGAATAAGTGCACCCTTGAAAATGAATCAACACCAACCAGCCCACCTTATGGCTATACTCTTTTGCAAGTAAGAAAATCCAAGTTTGCACATTTCAGTGCAATGAAGTATTACTTGAGTATGTACCATTCTGTTAGGAAACAAAAGATATTATGAAAGCAAACAACTCACCGAGTACCTTTCAAATCCTTGGTGCTTCTCAACGCACGTCTTGTAAAGGCGGCAAGATGAAGGGAAATTAGTAAAGTAGAGTTTCAAGGGAGTGCAGCTATGACGATTAGAGCCATACAACCTTCGTAACTGTGATGACAGTTTATTCAGCTCCTGCAAAGTAAAAAAATAACTTTAAAACTTAACATGCATGCATAGTTAAAGGCCAAAAAATTTACTTGAGAATAACAGAAACTGGTTTTGCTAATGAACAGTCCTTTGTGTGTTTTTGGTTATGTTCATACATTCTTCTTTGCATAAAGGGTTACACATTGAGTTATGTACACAGGCGGGAGGTTATAGCTACTGTATGAATTGAAGAAAGGGTCCCTGCACTACAGTTGAACCCCTTTATAAGAGACACTGATAAGAAACGCCAGTGTGCCTAGAGTAAAATACAGATTGATAAAAAAATGCACACGAGCTACCTTGCCTATAAGAGTGATCCCATATAAAATACAAGAACTGCTGCCCAGAGCATGCCTCCTTTAAAAGGGTTTAGTCGTATATGCTTCTTAATAAGCATAATGAACACGCAAATTAAAAAAAAGCGCTAATATTCTATTTTTGCACTGCAAGCAAGTTACGCAAAAAAGCATGTTTAACCTTATCCTTGCCCTTGTATAAGAATATAAATGCCAGAACTGCGTAAGTAAGCAATCAGGATGCATATTGTACAAGATAATATACATGTAAATGTATGTAAATGTATAGGCTTACAGTTAAGTATATTCTTAACCAAGAAGTTCAAAATGACTAGACCTGTTTTCTCAGAAAGAGCAAGGGCTAGAAACCTCAATTAGGCTTAATTTCATGGTATGTAGCAAGAGATGCATGTCATGCTTCTTTCATCACACTTCTAATCAAAACTGGTCAATTACTATTTAAAAGGCCTGCTTAAAAATAAAAATTTAGTTTCAAAACAAACATGAGTCGAATCCTGCACTTGCTGGAGTTGAAGCGAGCGAGATTTCGTTTTATCCTATTCGTGTGTGCTCCACAAACACTCTGTGACCAAAACAAGCATGAACACAACTGCCTCAAACCTGTTTTGTTTAGCCAGTTGCCTTGTTGTGCATTGGTCCCCATGCAATGTACTTGAAATGATTGACAGAGATGAAGAGGCTAAAGATAAATTTTTTCCAAGAATAACTAAATACTAAGCTGCATCATTGAGACCCAGCATATAAAATACACTTTGCCAAGGCTTCTAATTTTTACATGTTGCATGCTTGGCACAATAAAAGTGATGAAGGTTTATAGAAACCTCAGATTACTGTGGTAATCATAGGCAACATTGATGACACTTATCAACATAGGCAACATCAATGACACGATCAGCCACTCACTTTGTTCAAGAAAATATGGCACAGAGGAAAGAGCCTTTATGTGGTGCATTTTGTCCCACAGTATTGAGAAAATATTCATGTGTTGTCATATATGTAGTTTTTTTTGTTTTTGTTGCTGTTGAGGTTGAAATAGAAACACACCCAAAATAAAATACTCAAAGCAAACCGAGCCAACTACATCACTTTTATTTCAATATCTACAAAACACAAAATTTATTTCTAGATACAGGTGTCATTCTGCGCCGGTCTCTGTTATTACAAAGAGTGAACCAGCAAAAGTTCTGAACACTGAAGTGCACAAGCAGAGATTTTTCCCTGCCCTGCTAACAATGCAGAGCGTAGCACAAGCCAGCCATTCGGTGAGTTTTCACTCCTTTTACTTGAGGTTAACACCAAGGAAAGCAACACTAATGTTTTGGTAACACTAAAGCTTTTACTAATGACCTGTTAAAGATGGCACTGCACGGATCCAGGCCAATGCAAAAGCATGGCCATGCTAACAGTCCAAGCATTTTTCGGTGGGCCAGGGCCAAGCCTCAGCCCACTTATTGAAGGGTCTAAGCACATGCGAATGTAATGCATTAAATGGTCCAAAGCATTTTGTGCAATGCTGAAATGACACGTGCAAAAGCTTGCTCTTAGTATACCTCGATTGATTTGATTGATATGTGGGGTTTAACCTCCCAAAACCACCATATGATTATGAGAGACGCCGTAGTGGAGGGCTCCAGAAATTTCGACCACCTGGGGTTCTTTAACATGCACCCAAATCTGAGAACACGGGCCTACAACGTTTCCGCCGCCATCGGAAATGCAGCCGCCGCAGCTGGGATTCAAACCCGCGACCTGCGGGTCAGCAGCCGAGTACCTTAGCCACTAGACCACCGCGGCGAGGTTCAGCACAGATGACACAAAAAATGCTTATGCTAAATGTTTATTTTTTTTATGCAAGGAAAAAAAATTGCAGAGGAACACGTTTATAAGAGACAGAGATGTAGGAGTCAAGTGGTGAAAGCGACACAGGCCACAGTGCTCAACAGTGAAGCGGGGTTTAATCAGAAAACAAGAATGCAATACTTTGCTTATAGAAGACTCCTCATAATAAAGAACACAAGCTACTTCCAAGCGTGCGTCACATGTACAGGGGTTACGCTGTATACAAAAAAAACGCTATGCAGACCATTTCCTTCTTCTTTGTATAATGTTCCCTAGCACTAGCACGTAGCAAACACAAATACAATGAAGCTGGGTGCACATTCCGAAGACGTAAGATCTGTTTGAATCCCGAGAGTCCAAACAATGTCTTGTTTATGTACGAAAACATGTAAATTTTTGCCTTTCTCTAGCCTCTCTCAGGAATTTACTGTGTCGTGACTCAGAACAGAGTGGTGCTGGAGTGGGACACTGAAATGTTGCCCAGTCACCTCCTATGCCACCACTTACTGTGAAAACTGATGCAGTAGCCATAGCACAACCAATAAACAAATGAGCTGGAATGTACGTTAAGATCTGGAAATTTTCTACTTTAATATGACAACCTTTTGTGTCATGATGTCATTACAAAGCAGACAAAAAACTTAATACAGTTGAACCCTGCTACAATGAAACTGGAGACATGAAAAAATTTCACTGAAGCAAAGATTTCATTGCAGTGAAATAGAAAAAAATATAGCTGTCCTGAGCTAATAAAACAAAGAAACTTTGATTCTCAAAATTCAAAAAGCGTAGGCTACTTCTTTTCGTTTGCAGCACAGTGTCCTGGCGCGATTCTCATGCATGCATAGTGATGTTATATTGAAAAACACACTGAAACCGTGGCCACAGCGCCTTTCGTAATTGAACCTAGCACTTGCCCTAACACGCTAACACTAGCAGCTGTCCGCCGTCAAAAGCTATCCGACAACGCCAAGATGCAGGCATGGAATCATGAAGTGGTGACTTATGCCTTGCTGTATGCTATTCTTATCGTCCCCTAGTTGCAGCTGGCTAATTTTGCTGAATGCATACAGACAGCCGCTCTGACCAATGACCGCACAGACCAAGCGCGAAAAGAACCAAAAGCATGGACATCATAAAAAATATCATTCCATGATTGCACCCAGAAGCAGCGTGTAGAAAACTAAATGAACTGGGCACCTAAGCCAACTGAGCTTCAGCTTCAGATTGTTTGAGACTCAGAAGCAAGGCAGTAGCAAAAACAGGGCAGTCTCATTGCCATCGCTATATAGCAATGGCGGCCACATGTTTAGTAAACAGCGGCAGTTTCTGGTGGTGCCAACGCTTGTTTTATACCTCAGAGACATATTTTTAAGTTCTCAAAGTGCATCACAATATTCTGACTGCGCTTACTGCATGGCATTAAATATCTCAGCCTGCAATTGAAACGTCAAACTTGGTTGAATCAAAATGGTAGAAGAGAAAGTGTTCATTGTGGTGAGAATATTTATACATTGCTGACGATGAACCAAGAATTTCTTTTTGTAGCGGAAATTTCATTGAAGCAGTGTTCAATGTAGGAGGGTTCGGCTGTACTGGCAATATAAAAGCTATAGATAGTTTCAAGGTTGCAAAAGTTGTACCCCAAGAAACTACCGGTCCCCTCATTTACCAGCTCCTAATGCCGAAATTGAAAGCACGTTTTCAAGTTTTGTAGCGTAAGCTACACTGGCCTCACTGAGCCGATTTCCCGCGGCAATGGTCTGCGCATGCGCAATGATACTCCGCCGCCGCCGCGCGCGGTGTGCGCGCAATTCGATGCGCTGTGCAGACGATCAGTGGTGTCACACACTGGAGCCGGCACCTCCCTCTCACTCGGCCGCAGCCGCGCGACTCGCTGCCGCCGGTGTGCGCTTTCCAGAGGAGTGCCGTCATAGCCTTGGTAGACATATGGACGCCGCTCGCACTTTCCCTATGCAGTCGCCAGCTGACACTGCGCTGGAGCCGCTTGATAGCACCTCTGACTGGCGTTTGCCACTGTGGTGAAGCCATGGAGAAGGAGAGTGCAAATGCTGCTCAACGGTGCAGTAGAGCGGAAAGGCTCAACTCATCGGATCCCGAAGTAGTTGCCCGGCAAAATAAATATACATGTGCCACATAATACGTATACCGTGTGTGTGTCATTGGAACAGCTGTAAGCATGGTATCTGGAAAGCTAAGAATAATCAGCTGAACCTTTGCTAACGCTACGTATATCCAGGAATAGCTGAGCTAAGTCACTGCCATTTTTTTTTAAGGGAAAGTCTCTCATTAGTTTATCACATGAAATAACACACGTTAAGTTAAAGGGAACCTCTTACAATTTTCATGTAGCTCAAAAGAACATCTATTTTAATATATTTTTCCAAATAAGGGAAGAAAACTGTAGAAAATGAGCGGGCTATTTTCTAAAGCTCTTCTTGCCCACCAATGCTATTGAGGCACATCAGTGCATGAAACCGGATGTCATCAAGAGCGTGTGTTTGTAAACAGTGAAAGGGTCCATAAGATAACCCAGTTAGGGCACAGTGAGCATCGCCAGTATATTTTTAGAGGTTGCATTTCTAATAACTCCATTTAATGTGAAAAATAAAAAGCCAGAGAAATCATGTTAGTTTTATGTGTAAAAAAATGCGGTCTTAATAAAAATCTCACAGTCCGCCCCTTTTGACCATGTTTACTGTCTTATTGTCAGCAACGACCACAGGAGACATGACAAACATGATGCGCTACAGCTAAGGCTGTATGCATATTCAAAATTTCAAATATTTTTTGAATATTGCATGCTATTTGATCCCATTCACACTAGAATTTTACTATTTGAAATTATTTCAACTTTTCGAAGACAAATACAGTCAACGACTGATTGACAGTGGCCCCTTTCGATTTTTAGTATGCTTCACCCCAATACACTCTCGTATTGGAGAAAGCTGCCTTTCAAGCTTTGCTACAATCTCAAGTGTAGTATTGACTAAGGGGAGATGCGATTTGAAACATTCAAATATTTTTCCTTTTATTTGCTTTCACAAGTTAAATTTCTTTACTTCAAAAACCAAAACCTGAAGATTGTAATTAAACTCGAAGTAGGTTAAAATCGCTTCTGAAGAGCATAAATTAGCTACTAAAAAGAGCTCCTTGTCTAAAGTACCATGGAAATTGTCACCTGGCTGCTCGCCATTGCATTCATGAGGAGTTCACTAAAGCCGCACGCTCAAAATAACAATAATTGCCAAGCTCTCATAATGGAAGAAATCATTTTAAAAAAATATCTTGGCCGCATAGATGAGCTTTGACTTACACCTTTAAAATGTGTTTTTCTCAACAGCCATTTTCGGACAACTTGTCAAGCTTTGACATCATGTTCTAAGCACTTCTGATAGCCAGATGGGGATGAAATTTTGCCCACATATCCCTTAACATGTGAAAGAGGCAAGTATCTACTTCAAAACTTTATATCGCCTATATATTTATTATGAACCTAAAGCAAAGAATTAGTATGTGCTGAATATTCTAAGAATTCTCACATTACATTAAAATGTCTTCACATTACATTAAATGTTTTAATGTCCATTAAAATGTCTTCTATGCACTTTCTTGATAGTTATTTGCAATTTACAATTAATGTCGAGCAATATCAGCCACAGAACCATAAAAATGACACAGAACCATAAAAATAATGACACAGAACCATAAAAAATTGGGGGCATAAAAAAGTTTGTCTAAAACAAACTATAGTTTACACAATGGCATGGCAGAAAACAAAATCTGTGACTTATTGTAAAACTAATAGCATATTCGAAATGACCATAAAAGCCTTTATAGACACCAAAAAATTTCATTGCCTTGGCTACAAAAACAACAAAACTTTTCGAATCACATCTCCTTTCAGGAAAGTGCTGGTTCCACCATAGAAATAATAGATGCAACAGAGGCGGGGGCTCAATAAATGCTGTTTTGGATCTCAAATTTGGGCAGGAAGACAGAAAAATCTGACAAAGATTTAGCTTCTGAAGTTTGAGATGTTCTTTTTAAACACTGGCGTCTAAGAGGCAGATTTCAAACTCTGGACTTAAAGGGAGCTAACACTTGTCTGCCACGTCAATTGGGCTTCCACAGAAGTTGAAAGCGTAGGAAAGGCTGAGAAAATAGCACCTGAGATTTCCTCGTGTAAAGTGTTGTCGGCAACATTTTAGTTGCACTAAATCATGTAAATAAATACAATTTGGCCTCTGCATTGCTTCAATTTTGATAAGACAACTATGAAGCACCACACTGGCATCGCTTTATCAACCCAGCGAAAAAACACTTTCATATTGCTATCTCATAGGAATATGCTCTGAAATCTTCGCCAACTCTTTTTTATCCAATCTCGCTTCTAAGTATTAGAAAAAAAAAGTAATAAAAATATTCAAAAATTATTTGAAAAATATTTTATTCGATTCACACTCACACTTTCAAGATTCAAAGTCGCTTCACACCCAAAATTTTGCTATTTGCACAGCTCTAGCTACAGCCTTCCTCCTCTACAAAAGTAATGTACATACCTTTTCACTCATGAGTTCTGTATGCCCCATATCAATGCATATGCATGGAGCAGGCACTCCAGAGGCTGCCGAAGAGTCAAGGTTGTCTGGCTCCTTTTTTACCGATCTGACAGGCATTGAGCACTGACCTGAAATAGTGATATACAAGTTTCCCTAAAAGCCAAACACACAGTCAATCTGATTAGGATTTTTTTTTCAGTTTTTAAGTTGGTATGAAATGTTTAGGTTCTGTCAACCAGGCTGAATCGAGCTTTAATGAACCTCACCTAGAATAGCTTGACACTAAATAAAACGAGGTAAAGAAGACAAAAGTGTAGAGAAGTTGCTGAGGCGTACACCAAACCCAAAATATCGAATTGCAAGAAAGACACTAAACTATGCCACAAACTGCACAATAATATGTGCCAGAAGGCATTCCAGCCAGCTGCAAGGCTTGTCAACTGAAAAAGTTTCTGACGATAAAAAATAAAATACTAATGCACAACTTATCACTAACTATGGCATCAGTCAGAATAATGATGACCATGTGAGGCAAGAAGGAAGAAGTGGAACTGCTGGACAAACTAAACAAGGGATATATTTGTAAACAACTGCACCACCATATTGCCCGCGTCACACGGGCATTTTGAAAAGGCCATCGAGTCGACAGCGAAATGCCACAGCTCCATGAACTCGATAGAGTTGTCGCACTGTTACATGGCAGTTTTGACTAGCCGTTGAGCGATTCAGGTATTTCTCGCAAAACGTTAAATGCCACTGCAAGTTTTTATTTTCGTTTTCATGTAATCATCAGTGAAATAATATACACACTTAGAAGCACACATGTGTCTGTTATTTTTCTGTAAATATTTCAATAAATTGCTTATAAATAATCATGAATTCGTGTTTGATGTCAAGTTTTAAAGGGCCAGTAAACAGGCTTACACATTTACTTTACACCCCCCAAACAAGCTCGCCGATTTGTACAGCAGACCGCAGTGATCACATTTTCTGAGTATTACAGGGCTGCACGCTGCGCAGACCTCCCTGGGGGATTTCAAAAAAACGATTCCCGCGGTTCTTCTGACCAATCTCCCTCATACGTGCAGTGATGCAAGCTTGAACATGAACAACTTGACGCATCACTGAGCTCATCCATTGCGCCTTTGTCATATGAAAAAGCACCTTATTCTTGCGGGGATGCTGTTTTGGCTGCGTAGTCCACATTTTTGTTTTTTTTTGTGCCACCCTCTGCCCTTTTGTAGAACACGATACTGCTGGGAGAAGCGGTATTGCCAGAACAAAAGGCTCCAATATAAAGAGGCGTCTTGCTATTTTACTGCTAGGGGAAGGGAGCTCCACGAACCACACTTCCTCCTTGCACCCCTGTGACATGTGCTCCAGTTGGAGATGCCCTGCTCAGTTGTTGGTTGCGCGCCGATGACGTATTGCTGACGTGTCAGGTAGCCAAAGTGGGCTGAGTCCCGACGATGTGCTAGGCCTTCACCTCCCTATTGCAGAGAAATGTGGCAAGGCCAGGCGAATATTTGAAAACAGCTGAAACAGATGTTCTATATCCTGTAACTTCTTTACTGTAGCACTTATTCGCAAAACTCTTGTTGCAGCATGTTCACATAGCAAAAGTTCACATATTTCTCTTCATAACAACTTTTGGACCTCATGGTTGCTTACTGGCTCTTTAAGCAGCGAAACTACGGCAACGTTGTCACCAGTTCGTTGCCAAGAGTATGAGTATTTCACACATTCGAAATTGGGAAAGTACTTTAATAAATCATTTATAGCACACACGCATGCTGCTTTTGAAACCTAATGGTGCAATTTTTCTTTTTCTAATCAGGGGTTTCAGGTGCACTGTGAACAAGAGTGCACGTTTGCGCTATTTCATGTTAATGATAATACTTTTGGATACCTTATTATGAATTTTGGATACCTTATATCACTTTTGGGTACTTTATTAAGCAACTGTATTTATTTAATCTACACTGCAGTGCTAATGGCTTGTCACCATTCTGTTCTGCAATTTTTTTTCTTAATTTTTCTGGAATGCAAATTTTCGTATATGTATTTTGAATGTTGTCTCCCCCTACTCTAATGCCCCAAGCAGGTGCTGTTGGTACTGTAAATAAATAGAAATAAAATAAATAAATATCCATTTCCGTCGCTCAATCGCCATCAAAGTTTCAAAGGACGTTGTGGGATACTCTGTTTACTGGTAAGGCTATCGACTTGATGGCCTTAGAAATTGCCAATGCGGCAGCTCGTGCTTGAGAGTTAAGTCAATAGACTGTCGGTTCAATGGCCTTCTAAACACACATGTAACACTGATATAAGAAAACTTGCTAATTCAGTTGAAGATCACAGCACAATATAAATCAACAAAGGGAACACACAAATGCTGTAGCTACAAAGAGCTGCAGCAAAAGTAAGATCATTTAGAGTGTCAAGGAGAGTACCAAACTGTTATGCAAGGCATCTGCATAAGGACTTGCCCAAAAAAAGCCAAAGCCACAAGACCAAGCTAAAATCAAGCTTTCTTTTCAAGGGCATTGGGTAGGCCCTATACACCCTATGAATTTTTGGTCATTTTGAGGTACCGTTTTCTCGATGACTAAAAGCGATATTCACATAATCCATACATCATTTTCTTGCCCCGTCGCGGTGGTCTAGTGGCTAAGGTACTCGGCTGCTGACGCAGGTCACGGAATCGAATGCCGGCTGTGGCGGCTGCATTTTTGATGGAGGCAAAAACGCTGAAGGCCCGTGTGCTCAGATTTGGGTGCACGTTAAAGCACCCAAGGTGACCGAAATTTCCGGAGCCCTCCACTACAGCGACTGTCATAATCATATGGTTTCGGGATGTTAAACCCCACATATAAATCAATTACATCATTTTCTGCCAAGTTTTCTGTTCCTTTAACTGAAGCAGGTTTATTGAATTCTGACTGATGTTAGAATATTTCTGCAACTTTTTAGCCAAGAGGACATAAATTTAAGTTAGCTTGCATCTATGAAAATTTGCAACACAAAAACTATAGAGTGCATAACTTTTTTGAATTTAAATTTTCAATTTCATAAAATTGTTTTATTGTTTTCTTGTCGAAGAAATAATATGATGCTGGGGCTAAAGCCATATATCCTGACAGAGGACCCAACTTTTGTACAAAGTTCGTACAGCACATTTCAATTCTGCTTCAATAACTGTAGAAATTCATGCAGGATACAAGAAAGATAATCAACTAGTTATCTCAGAATACATACGAAAATAACAGTACCTAAGAAGTAAAAAAACATGGTTTTGAGATGGAATTGAGATAATTGAGATAAAGCGTGAACACACTTTGTCATAAACACCATTCAACAATTTTATTTAGTAGCTAAAAGCTTGGTGTTGGTAATAAATTCCAAAGTCAATTTTTCACTTTAAAGCTTCTCGTAATGCTTACCTTGCTTCTGTTGTGAGCTGTCATGCAGCTCCATCCACAGTGTAACAGTGTGTGTGGTGAACATTTTCCAGCAAATCAGCTGTAGTTTGCCCCCTCCCCCCCCCCCCCCGCTTGAATTCTAGATATTTCATAATTTAGGCTTGTGTGACATCATTAAATGCATCATTAAATGCCATCATTAAATCATTATTAAATACACGAACAATATCCAACGTTGCAATACTTAGCATTTTGAACCTTAAAGGGGCCCACAACTGACTTTTTTCGATCCAGTTTCTTCCTGCGCGACAGAAAGCTTACCCTTCGTAGTGATCGTTGCTGCAGAAGTTAAACCCGAGAGCTCGTAGTCATTTTATAAGCAGTATTTTTCGATCCGAAAGGCTCTGAACATGATAGTGCCTTTTCATCCGGCAACGCTGAGTATTGATAGTGATGTTGGTAGCTTTTCTGGTGGCTTATGCATGCTGTCGATTTTATTTTGCAAGATTTCCTGGAACTATGCTTTACCACGTTTATTCTGCGCTTTACAACTATTTTTGAAAATAACAAGCTGTTACAATGAAACGGTGTGGCTCTATAGAGCTTCCCTGCATTCGTACCGCGTCGCCAAGCCAAGTAATCGAAAACGGAACTGCGCATATGTCACACAAAGGCAGCGCCACTTTAATGCGTACTACTAACGTAAGCTTATCCGTATACTTTTATAAAATATTATTTTTTACTATAAAGAACCAAACCATATTTCAGAACCAATCAATAAACTGTTGACCGTGTACTTTAACACATAGTCACGTGACAAGGCATTCATGAGAGTTTATGTTTTTGCCACCAGAGACACCACGGGCTATTTTTCACGATCTTCAATGAAGAAATTAAAATAAAAATCCACTTCTCACGAGAAAAACAGGGTTGGTTTGAGTCACTATAAGTGACAATCTTTCCATCCGTGCAGTCATCTCATTTCATGTTCTGGGCAGTTGTTGGTCCCTTTAACGAAGACCACAAAGACTCTGCAATGCCATTCCCATTAAGGGGAGATGCGGGTCGAAAAACGCGTTTTTTTGAAAATTACCGATTTTTTATTTTCGCCCGTTTTGATAAGATTGGTACCTCTACTGTTATGAAAAAAATAATACAGGTCGAGACCTAACTGGAAATGCTTTAAAATTGCATCTAAAGAGCACAAGGTGCCTGTTAAAAGGTCGAAAGTGTGGAAAGTGTGGAGTCTTCGAGCACCTTGCCGTTATGAATAAAAAAAAATTATCTCCATCATGAATAAAAAAAAAGGCATTACTCGCAAGTGAAAGTCGTTGTGCGGCGTGCTCTGTAGGAATAGGCTACGAGCAGCTGGTCCGATTTGTGGCAGTTAATTTGTTGGCTTGCAAAAGCCAATGCGTCAAAAGTTATTCACACCCGTCGGCTGGAAAGTTCGTGATGCGGCAATGAATGACGTCAGCGCCAATCTTGCGAGGTCAAAATAGGTCGCAGTGAGAGAACTTAGCAGGGACAGCCTTGCCATTATGTACGACAATATGTGGCACAAACATGGCTGCAAAAGGGCATGACACTGGACTTAGTTTGGATTTCGCAGTCTTGTCGAACTTCTTTCTAGCTTGCAGTTCGCACAAGGCTCTGCCACATGGAGCGGAAGTTCGGCAAGCGTTTCTTGGCCCTGTCTGTGAGCGAAATGTCTGTGAGGAGTCAGCTCAAAAAAGCCGAGAGGGACAAACTCATGGTGCTGGCGTATTTTAGTCGCAGTTGCCACTACAAGAAAGATTGTTCTTTTTGGTGTGCAAATTTCATTTGATTTAATGATATCTTTCATAAATAAAAACTCAATTTTAACTTTAAAATTTGTTTTTCTCAAAACACAAATTTCGCCATTTTTTCTTATGTGGCCCTCCTTTTTCGGGCAGTTATAGTACTTGGATCTGCATGAAATTTCGCCCAATTTTTTTCTAAAGTATGACAAATGCAATTATCTAGTTTAAATTTCAATATTTTATTGTTTAATAAACAATTGTATGTATATCTTCACTAGAGTAGGTGAAATATGGACTTTTTGCCTTTATTATTTTTTACGTGTATTACATATTTTGTATGTGCTTCCTAATTATTTATTTGCACTCTACACTTTATTTCAGGTATTATGAACTATGAATGGTAAAAAATTACAGAAGTTTAGGGATGAAAAGAGGGGGGCGTTCAGCGCCTCAGTACGTCCCTGACATTTATTCACACTTACGAAAGAACTGTATGAGTTGCCGTGAAATTCATACTTGCTGAAGACCTTTTTTACCCTCAGCCTCTAAACTTATCGACAAGCATGAAAAACAGTGTAATGAAGCTAGGAGCTGAAAGTGTTCAAAGCGACGCCATTCTTAGACGAAGAGAGAATACAAAGGTTGCACAGTGTCTTCAAACTGTTTGATAGAAGCTACCTGGCTATTTTATATACACAGACAACTGTTGACAAGCATTTTGGCTTTCGTACATTAAGTTTTTTAGAAACATAGACCGTAAGCACAGAGCACATACGAGAGGCTTGCCTTAGGGTGCGTTTTCATTCACTACTTGCTTTCGGAAAAGCTAGTTTTGAGGCAGAAAAAAATACTCTAAAGCACAAATGTGGAAAATATGCACAAAGGGCCACCCTGCCCAAACGGCAAAGAAAAAAACTGATATTTTTTCGAATTTTGCCCTACCCTTTGTTTTTAAAGGGGCCCGGAAGCACTTTTTCAAGTAATTATCGAATAGCTTCATTAAAGTTCATTCCCTCAAGAATCGACAGCTGCCAAAATATTTAAAATCCATCAAGTTTGAGTAGGTTAAAGAGATTTATCACCCATTAAACACTTTCTCCTTTCACATTAGTGAGGGGGGAGGATAAAGTGGAAAGGAGCAAGAACCTATGTCTGTTCAACAATATGTGTCAGGACTCTGAGAACTTTTTTTCTTCTTTAAATGCTCCGCTCAGTGTGATCATGAACGAGCTTGCAGGCAGGCACATCACAACATCCTATTGCAGACAGGTAACTATGCAGCTTACCATGCACAAATCAGCCAATCACCGAGAACTTTGAATTTATTGTGTGGTCATCTGGATTTATGGCACTACTAAGAGAACAGTGAGCAATTTCTAGCTAATTTTGAAAATTAATTGTAAATTCCTGGCAGCCTGTTGTGCAATAATATTTGGCTCGCATATTCACAGGAGCCTCAACCACTGATCTGCAGCATTGTTTGAACATGCTGAAAAAGTGCTGCAGGGTCCCTCTAAAGCCTGCAGCAGTGACTCTGATAATAGTGTTAAGCTGCTGGGCATGAATACACGAGTTCACTTCCCAATGGCATCAATTGCATTCCAATAAAAACAGAATGTAGAAATGCTCGTTCTTATGCTTCGGATTCACATCAAACGAACTAAAATGTTCAAATTAATCCCAAGCACGACACCGTGGCATCCCTCATTGCTCCCAGCAGTTTCAAAACATCACCCCTTGCAATCTAATTGAATAATTTCTTCTTTGAAGCTACAGACACAAACATTCAGCTCACCTGTTTAACATGATCACTAAACCAGCAGTGAAAAAAAGATAGGGAAAATTCTTGGCGTACTTGACATTTGTGTTAAAACTTCATAATAGTGTCCACAAATTGTCCAAAAGAGAAGTCATGAGTGGTTATCACCACGGAAATTGAAAAAAGACATGTTTTAACAAGACTTAGAATGTGGCTAATCATCACGAGTGAAGATAATAAATATCAAATAATAAGTATCTTACCCTCGGACTTGAAAGATTCCAGTTCTTTTGCAGCTGCTAATCTTTTTTTCCGAGCCTGTTTCTTTTCCCGCCGCTTTGCCTTTCGGGCAGCAACTACCCTCTCATATCGTGCAAGTTTCCTGGCTGCATTTTTCTGCAAAGCACAAAAATAATTTTAGATGTTTCCAGTCTATGCAGGGAATTAGACTAGAGCTTCTCGGGCATTCCTATTTACCTGCAACATGAAATAGCTACTTACAATAACAACAGCAGTCAATGTTCAGTTGGCTGTAGTCTCTCTAGAGAAAGATTTTTCTCTCACCAGGAAAAATTAGAAAGAAGGAAACAAGCAAATGAGTGTGTGACTGCACCGCTTCAATTTATGGCCATGGCAGGTGCACTTGGGCTCCACAGAGCGCTGCCACGCTGAGCAGTGTTCACCCCCAAGAGTGGATGCCACTGTAAAACCAGCGTAAAATGAAACACGAACAACGGAGTGCATGCCACGAGCGTTACAGAAGGTGTAATGGATGCCCTCCAGTCATCACGGTAAGCAGATCCGCTCCACACATCCAGTCTTGCAGCACTGCGCAATTCCCTTATAGTACAATATTCTCGCTAGTATTCTAATTCTAATATTCGGAACAAAGGCCCCAAAAGAAGAAAAATTAAAAGCAAAACAACCAAAAGTGCTCGGCACGCCCGTACCGGCCCCTATCATCACAATAGAAGTACAATGCAAGCTAAAATAATGCGTTCTAAGGGCATCACGCAGTTCTGCCGATCCAGATGTGCGCACCTGTCAATGGTGATGAGACTGATGACTGGACGTAGCTCACTATACCATTGCTAATGCTTGCACCACGTGCTCTTCTGTTCACGTTTCAAGTGTTGCTAATAATACATAGGTGCTAACTCTGCAGTCAACCAAAGTACAATAAAAGATGTCTCAGGTCTGGAGCCAACGCCTCAACAAGGAGACTTATCTTAATCAGCAAAAACAACTTCTATGAAGGATAAAGCACAAGCCTCAAACAAGGGAGGCAAGTAGCTTTTTCTGGCATGACAATTACGTGCACGTTTCTGTTTGCTAGATCTGAACAGGTTACCCATGGCACAACACCCAGTGTTTGATGATGAATGAAGAATAAATGTGATATATGTGAATATTTTCCTATATTTAGAGCATGTTGGGAAACCTTGAGGTGTTGTACAATACTGAACCAGTCAGCGTGTCAGCTTCACTGATGTTCACCACAATCTTGGTGTCTTCAACCGGGCATGCAGACAGCTCACAGGGTGAGATATTCAAATTTTCTGCCCAAAATCATCAACCAGCTTGATCTTCAGAGTGCAGTAAACATTTAATTGATTGATTGATACGTGGGGTTTAACGTCCAAAAACTACCATATGATTACGAGAGACGCCGCAGTTGAGGGCTCCGGAAATTTCGACCACCTGGGGTTCTTTAACATGCACCCAAATTTGAGCACACGGGCCTACAACATTTCAGCCTCCATCGGAAATGCAGCCCCCGCAACCGAGATTCGATCCCGCGATCTGGGGGTCAGCAGCCGAGTACCTTAGCCACTAGACCACCGCGGCGGGGCTAAACATTTAATGAAGATGCCGAATCTTTGCCAGCATGCAACTGAAGCTATGTGCTGTTACATACTCAGAAAGTGATAAACTTAACAATGAGTGTAGAAGAAAACTGGGCTACCAGTCCACAAGATGGCATTCTTCAGACTACAGTAAAGCGCCTTGGTGAGCTTTAAGGGTTAAAAAGATCTCACTAATGCTCATATACTCATGGTGTCTTCATAGGAGTTGCCAATACTGAATAAAAAATACTGGTATCACTGTTGAGTACAAAGGATACTGATTTATCCACATGAAAGTTCTTCTGCAAGCTGATGTTCATGGAACCATAAATTCTGGGGATTGTAGTGTCAGAACCAAGATATGATTATCATGGCATGCCGTTATCGAAGCTTCCGGATTAATTTTGACTATCTAGGTTTATTTTATCCACGTCTAATGTTGAATTTTAATGCCGGAGTCGGAGCAGCCGATGAACTCGGCAAGCGAGCACTCAACTCTGACGTAGAGCAACGCCTCCAAATTCGCGATTGCAATACAATCCACGCTACCGGAGCAAGTATGGTGAGCAAGGTAGAAGGGAAAGACTTTGAGTAGCCCAGAATACCTTGCGTGTAGTATTCCATTCCGCTAATTCCTTGTGTCAAATTCTACTCGTAAACGGTTGTTCACTGTCACTCTGCGACGAATTGATTTGCCCAGTTGGCCATGTCATCCACCGTTATTGCCAAAACACGCAACAGCGGCAGCACCCCCAAGAGGGCGGTCATTCGCACAGCGGCCAACACTCCATCTTGTCAAAGTCACAAAATTACAGCACACCGAGTTCAGATCCACTCCGCTGATTTTGGTGGTGCAACTTTTCTTGCTCTTTAAAGTCAATCTCGCTTTGTATCCACTCCGACTATATCATAGAAATAGTTGACTCCTGCCCTCACTCTGCTACTGGAACACACTTGCCCCAAAAAGAGCAGAAAAACTTCCTTTGACTCCGCCATTAGAATTCAACATAATTTGATTTTATTAATTGATATTTGGGGTTTAATGTCCCAAAACCACTATATGATTATGAGAGACGCCGTAGTGGAGGGCTCCGGAAATTTCGACCACCTGGGGTTCTTCAACGTGCACCCAAATCTGAGCACACGAGCCTCTAACATTTCTGCCTTCATCAGAAATGCAGCTGCCGCAGCCGGCATTCGATTCCGCGACCTGCGGGTCAGCAGCAGAGTACCTTAGCCACTAGACCACCGCAGCGGGGCTGGATTTCAACATAAACAACCACTCTCTTGAAATATCATCCTCGGCTGGATGCGACGACATCAATTCTAAATTGTTAAAAAACACTATAGCACTCTCTAGTAAATTTTTGTACCTTATATTTAACCAATCTTTAAACACAGGAACCTTGCCAGATGATTGGAAGACAGCTAAAATAGTCCCCATTTTTAAAGCAGGCCGGCGCGAAAGTCCCGCTAACTACTGCCCGATTTGCTTAACTAGTGTTCCATCTAAAATCCTTGAGCATATTATAGCATCAACTCTTATGCCTACCTAGAATCAATCAGTTTTTTCTACCCTTTTCAACATGGTTTCCGAAAGTATCTTTCCTGCGAAACACAACTGGCTGAATTTACTAATGACATACTACTGCGAATGGATGATCACGTACAAATAGATGCAATTTTCTTAGATTTCTCGAAGGCCTTCGATCTAGTACCCCACAAGCACCTGCTCATCAAATTATCCGTTCTTCGTATCCCACCAAACGTTATAAAATGGCTCGAGCATTTCATAACAGGACGCGTTCAGTTTACCGTTGGTAACGATTTCCAATCAAGCCTTACCAGCGTCACTTCCGGTGTTCCCCAGGGCGCCGGCTTAGCACCTCTATTATTTCTTATATACGTGAATGACCTTCCTAGTAACATTAAATCACAGCTGCGCCTATTTGCAGACGACTGCATTTTTTATAACCCCCTTAACTCCCCTAACGACGCAATCACCCTACAACACGACCTTGACACCATTACTTCACGTTGCAAAAAGTGGCATATGCTCCTAAACCTCACCAAATGCAAGGTCATGTCCTTCACACGTAAACACAACACCTCACATGAAACCTACTGCATTAATACGGTTCCCATTGATCACACGCGCACTTACAAGTATATAGGAGTTCATCTGACATCAACACTATCATGGGTGAAACACATTGAAACCATTCGTTCTGAAGCTTCCCGCACATTAGGCTACTTACGACGTAACTCGCAATCTGCAACTCCTGACATAAAGAAACTCGCATATCTGACATATGTGCGACCAAAACTCAAGTATGCGTCATTCATCTGGCATCCTTCACAAGCTTATCTCACCGATGATTTGGAAACCGTTCAAAATCGCGCAGCTCGTTTCATTACATCACAATATTCAAGACATATCAGCGTAACCGCACTAAAACAAATGTCACTCGCATCGCTCGCTTCACGTCGCATAACCTCTCGTATCTGCCTCCTTCACACATTCTTTTACTTTAGCAAGTCGGGACACCCTCTCCTAAAACGCCCATAAAGAATGTCATCTCGCCTGTCTTATACGCATCCTCTGATGACCATAAAATGCCTGACGAGGGCGATGAGCAGCTAGTTTTTCCCCCATGCCGTAACACTCTGGAATGCGCTGCCAGATAATATTGTTTTTTGCAGGGACCGCTCAACATTTCGCGAAAAACTAGCTCTTTTCCGAAATCCAAATGTGATGTCCTAACAGCACATTAACTCTTGCATTTATAGTTGTTTTACTGTACTCTCAGAATTTATTTATCGGCTATCATATTTTTTTTTTAGGTTATGCATGTTATTTCCACTTGTGTTCTTTATTTGCTTCTTCATTGTAATCAGTGTGCACCCTCATATTGTTACATTGCTTAGAAACTTGCAACCTGGATGTACGACCCCCCCCTCATGTAATGCCTTCGGGCCTTTAAGGTTGAATAAATGAAATGAAATGAAAATGAAATAGTAGGTCACCGCATACTTATAAACAGTATTACAAGCACAATGTTATGTTTAACACTGGAAATAGTTACGAGCACAAATGCTACTTTGCCAGTGTCAGTGGTTAGTCCATGTTACTTGGGGGCCAGTAACCGATGCCCTGCCGCTTTGCAGTTCTGACCATTTTTCTGCTCTACATATGATGTTAAATATGGCACTTTTGTTCAGCCCACATGACCGCGTGTTGTTTAGCTGCAGATAAACTTTTACCGTCCCACAGGGGCACAAGTCCAGTTGACACGTCACTATTAGCCCTGACAATTCGCAAGTTTCATTGCCTACAGGGGGCGCATGGGGTGGTTCAGTATGGTGCCCACAGAGAGTATCAGTCACTAAGCACATGTGCGACCTACACTGCAGCATTTTTTTTTTGTTTGCTTCAAAATGACTCTACTTTTTTTTCAGTCGCATATTATACACCATCTAGACGCTTTAGAAACTCAGATACGATGCCTCGTTGAAGGCGAACAGGTCCTGAATGCCAAAAACATCAATTGTTGCGGCGTGAAAGCCTGTAGTGCATCTGTCGTTGAGCAAGGACTCTGCCTGCAGACATCTCATGTCCGCCAGAATCCACAGGAAGTGAAATTCACATATGATTGGGAAGGTTCTGTATAGGAATGTTAGCTTGCTTTTTCGTCTTCGCGCTAAATGTGCCGGTCTGCAAGACATGACCTTCTTGCACCGACATTCAACGGCACAAAGTAATCTTACTGTTCTCCAATGCTCTGTACGTGTGTGCCGTGGTAATGTGGAAGTTACAATGTTCTGCTCTGACCCGAATGTCGCGTGTTCGATCCCGGCCGTGGCGGTTGCTTTGCGATGTAAGTGGAATGCTAGAGGCTGAGTACCGTGCGATGTCCGTGCACCTTGCCTTCCACTAAAGGCGTGCCTCACGATCGTTACGTGGTTTGTCACGCAGAACCCCAAATAGTGTTATAACATTCTGTATTTCCTTTTGCGTCCTGAGTTTTGAGTGGATACTTACCGATCTAAGATTTCGCTAAGTGATAAAAATTCCAATATTTTGTACGAATTTTTGAAAAAAGTCACACCTTTGCCGCAAAGGCGAAGCAATGAACGCGATAGCAACAAATCGAAAAGTCACGCGCCGAATGGCAGGCAGATCAAAACGTGCCCTGCGTTTCTCATGCACAAGTGACTCACGAAACGTACTCACAGGAGAAGATGAACGCGAATAAGCATCTCAGTTGTTACTTCGCTATCTAAAAAGCCCAAACTGAGACTGTGCAGCGACTGTAGTGGCCTTTGTGTGCCTGGTAACTACAAAAGAAACGTTTTAGTGAAAGCCAAACGCCAGCCAAGACGTACATGCATATGCTACGAATGCCACTACCCCACTACTGCTCCGATACTCTTTGAAAAAATTACGCAGGCAGCCGTGGGGCAGTGTGACAGTCTACTGAACTAGCGAATAGTGTGCTGGTAAAATAGTGAGAACTGCGAAGTGGCAGTGAAGTTACTGGCCCCATGGACTAAATACCGACACTGGCATTTTAGCAGCACTTGCAGAACTTTGCCAGTCGTCATGCACATAACAACTTCATAATAAGTGCAATCCGCATTGCATATAATACTGCTCTATAATTATTGTGTGATTGTACTGCAGTGACAACACAAGATAACAGAAAGATCAATTCATTCAAGGCGTGCAAAAAAAAAAAAAGAATTACCACTCTCAATACTTTCTCAGTGCTCACAGCAGCTTACCGACAATGACTGTGGCTCATTAACGGGCACGTCACCCTTCTTCATTTCATCAGCGCCATTACCACCCGTCTGAAACCATGCATATTCCCGGCTCGGTGTTTTGGTCTCCATAGTGTCCGTTGATGAGCTGAAATAAGGGAGGTGAAATCAACTTATCAATAAACGCGGCTTGAATATGGTGCACGCAGGAAACATAAAAGGTCCGTTCGATTCCCCTCCACCAATCGGAAGCGGTTCACGGCTGTGCACGTGAAATTCAGAAATTGTGCCGCGCAAGTTGAGCGGTTCAGACACAGCGAAATGAATGACGATGTACCAGGCCTTATTTCTGTTCGTTTAATTTACACCGTTTAACGAACACTGACCGATGGCAAACCACACATGCGGACAGTTTATGAGGAGCAAACACGTTGGCAAAACACACGGCGTTAGTAGAGGCGGCTACGGCGCCTACGCCTAAGCGCTGCGTCGTCTGCTCAGCTGTACGCGCGGCTGCACCAAGCCGGCACCGTCAGTGTAGGAGGTGCAGGACAATCGCGAACCAGTGCTGCACCTCTTCTGCACCTTTCGAAACGAATGGCAGAGTGCGGAGGTTGTCAATGCTGCACCGCTGAAACGAATGGCAAGATTCAGCACCTCATCAACTGATTCATGTGGCGCAGGCGAATCGAGCGGTAATTCTTTCCCAGCACTAAACTAAACAAACAAGTTCCTAGCACCACAACCTGCGCTGGGGACGAGACACTCGTGTAGTAGAGGTCTGAACGTGCGGTTCATCACCCCCCGCGCCGCTTTCAGCTCTCAAAGCAATGTTTTACCAACTAGACGCCCAGCCATCCACGCGCCTAGTACACGTTCCACGAGTTTATTGCAGTTTCTTTAGTTGTTGTTGTTGTTGTTTTCATTCAGTCTGGTGAAGACTAAACGCTTAGCTCCAAAAGTCACTCAACGTACGCGAAAACTTCAAGCGGAATGTTACAATACACCAGCTGTTTGCTGCGAAAAAGGCATTGGCTTGGCAAACCCGGTCCATTTCAATCAAATCACGTAGGCCGCATACAGAGCACGGTAGGACTAAATATACAAGAATTTTAGTGACAAACTACATTATTATGTCGGCTATTACTTTGAAGACCCCATATTACCTAGCACCGTGCCGACCAGGAAGAGCTAAAAAAAAAAAGCACGCCAAAAATTGTTTTGAAAAAGTACTGGATTGGCTTGTCTTGCTTCTCGGAGCAGCCACACGTGTCGATCAGTTTCGATTTTTTCAGCCAGGTTCAGCTGGTTCAGCTGTTAGCTTTGAAGAAAGATCAGTTGTGACACCAGCCGCAAGAAAGTTCTAGTAGACTCTAAATAAAGAAACGACGTCATAACTGTGATTAGAACTAGCACTCCTAGATTTGCATGGACATAAATACTCGATAAAGTGGACGCGGGGACCACCGCCATCGTAGTGCAATCGGTAGCATCGATAGGGCGCGTAATCCGACGGTTGGAGGTGCGGTCCCTGCCGGCGGCAAGTTGTCCTTTCGTCCACTTTGCTTTCTTCACATCACTAGCATAATTACTACAATACACTCATCACAGTATAATTGGCGTCTCCTATACCTTCCTTCACTTCATTATTCATTGTTTTAATCACCATTTCGGTTTCAGTCATTCATGCATTCAAAGCATCCGCAAAAACTATCTGCCTTAAGTGTCATCCCAGTAAAGCAGCGATGCCAGAAATAATAAGCACCAGAGTGTGTGGAAACACTACACTCTGTTTGAAAAAGAAAAAAGGCATATTCCACATACAGTGGGAATCTATGATATATGAGGAGCATGAATGAGGAAGGTTGATCTATATCACTTTGAAATCAGCACAGTAAACGTTAGGATGCGGACTTAAATTACGCCGTACATGACTTCCATGTCATGATTATAATGTTTGGGCGTGTTATTTACCTTCATTGTCCATTCACGTCACAAAATACCACATTTTGTATACGTGCAGCTAGCGGAACGGCCGCGAGCGTATCATAAGCGTGGTATGTTGTCATGTTCTTACATGGCACGCATATATCGTGATTATCATGTTTGCACCAGTTATATACCTTCGCCATCCGTTCACGTTCCGTAATACCAAATTCGGTATATGCGAAGCTAGCGAAATGACCGCGAGCGCACCATGAGCGTGACGTGAAGGCGCGATTTACATTATATATGCATGTCATAATTTCCACGTTAGGGTCTGTCACTTGTGCTCGCCATGCAGTCATGTCACACCATACCAGTTTGCGATATCTCATATGAACGAAACCACCGCAAGGGCAGCGAAATCATGACATTCAAATGTAAATCATGACATACATGTCGTTTTTCACGTTATGACTAGTCGCTTATGCTCGTCATACAGTCGTGTTATGCCATACAAATTTGGTATCAATACCATTTTCGAAGCGGCCAGGAAAGCTAAAAGTCGTAGGCGGATAGATAGATAGATAAATAGATAGATAGATAGATGGATAGATAGATAGATAGATAGATAGATAGAGGTCTATATATATATACATATATATATATATATATATATATATATATATATATATATATATATATATATATATATATATATATATATATATATATATATATATATATATATATATATATATATATATATATACATATATATATATATATATATCATAAAAGTTTAATAAATGTATCATGGATGTTAGTCATCGGCATGGAGATGTACCAAGCGTCAACGAGGATACATCCGCGTTGAACGGGGCTATAGCTGTCAAACACCGAGACATACATACGGCAAACCCTCGATCCTCAATCAATACTTAATAAACATTTAATTACCCCTGTAAAGGCGCGTTCTACTTTCGTGTTATATGCCCATTCCCATGACGGAGGGACCAACCATGACTTTACAAAGAATGATTGCTGTTATACTTTTTCGTAAGTATTACACTTTCTTGTATATAATCAGGTATGCGTGTATTATAATTTTCCTTATTTCCTAATAGTCTGATTAATATTTCTGGAGCATGCTGTTATTAATATTATATCTATTGTTATGATGCTGTTCTTAACTGATTATCAACTTCTCAACCCTTTTCTTTTAAAATGTATTATTTGTGGTGTTAGGGGCATAGTAGATTGTTGACATTCAGTGTATTTGTAACAAAATTTCTTCATGGGCCCCCAGGCGCCTGCATAAATACACCAACACAAACGGTGTAACCAAAATGTTCCTTTTAAATAACAAAGTGTGGGCAATTTTGACGTTAAACTATCCCTCGTTGCTTCTTTTCGAAATGATAGTTAGCTGGATATTTAATTCAATCGAGTTCATTGTGCAACACGGTTGCGCGGAGACCAGGCGGAAAAGCTGCACCGAGCAGCTTGAGGGGAACCTTGAGGGAATATGGGTGTAAACAGTCTTTGTCATGCACACTGCACCAGCTTGTTACGTGAGGCAACAAATGACGCGAAAATGACTCATCGCGTAATGACCACTCATGCATCACCACGTAAAAAATTAAGAGAATAAACTATTTTCGATACGATATTATGAACTCATTCAACATTCAATTCTCTTACCCAACGTGTTGCAAACACATGGCCGTCACAGCAGCTCCATCTGTGTGTCAGTAATGAAGAAGCACTACATATTAGAAGTCTCAGTGCTCTACGTATAAGAGTGAATTCATATACTGTAGAATACCGTGTTCAAAATAGTTACTCCTATCTGCTAAAACAGCCTTTCTTCACCAAATGCGGTCAACGTTTACTCGCGTTTGAAGCTTATTGCCGCTTTTCCGTTCCGATTTCGAGATTTCTCAACTTATCAGCACGTTCTCGAAAAGCTCTGATTTGTACCACGAACATCGTCGCTAAAAACAAAATAATGCAACATGATTTTCTATATTACTGTATGATGGCCTTCGGTTGTCTATTTACGAGATTTTAAGAAAAATCGAAGATGTGGTTTTTTTTTTATTAATCAAATTTCAGTGGAGTACACTTTTGCCAATATGAGAACTTTGAGGCAATATATAAAAATTTACATTTGCCCTACGATAGCAATAATTTATGTGCCTAATGAACATACTATATCCTTAAAACTTGTCAAGTTTGAAAACGCCGCTTGCATTACTTTCGGAGAAAAAAAAGGGGGAAATACGTAACCTATTTTAAACTGTCGCAGAATTAGACATTTTTAAAAGCTATTTTCTTAAGGTCTACAAACTTGAAACCGAAAGAATTCATTGTTCATTAGACATGCATTTCAGGTAAAAAAATATCTTCCTTGAAACAAAAATATTTGTATTTTTATCCCCTTCAGGCGCAACGTCCACATTTGTGGACGCCAAGTTCACACCTAGGTGTTTCGAAAATAGGTCTTGAATCTCGCGCGCAAACAAGGCTCCCGCAACCACTGCATCTTGCTGCAAAGACGCGTGACGCCATCTCTTGCACCTGGTTTGAACCAGGTGCAAGAGATGGCGTTAATAACATTGTAAACAGAAGTCAAAATGGACGCCTACACTTTCTATGGCGGGACGCGTAAGTGGCTCTGATGTTTTTATCGTTTACTTCGTACCTTTTTAGCTGGCGTGAAATTTTGCATTTGTCAGTAATAACTAAGATATCCCGCATGCCTTTTAACAATATTTTGGCAATAGGAAATCATTTGTAATGACGGAAAGGTTCAGCTAAATTTCGCGTCCACGAACGTGGACACTGCGCTTCAGTGCCGCCTTTGTTGAAAGGCTGCTATTTCTCTGTGTTTCACTTCCGCCAGCATCAAATGATGTTTACGTTAATAATTTTTGTCACCAGGAGTTCAAGATCATGCATCGAGACGACAAAGAGTCGACGATGAAACAGCAGAAGACGTACTTAATAAAATAGCCAATGCAGATGTTTCCGATCGAGACTTTTCGGGCGACGAAAAGGAGGAAGAGAATTAAGAGAACATAGTAAGTTTGCATTACACTGCCAAATTGTCGTATTTCTTGCACAAATATCTAAAGGGACATTTTTTCTATGTTTAACTGTTGGTTTCAGCCTGCCAATGGCCAGGTGAGCGCATCGATGTCCTCCTCAGCACAGTCTTCAACATCACAAACCCCAGTCACAAATTTGAAAGAGCCTGCGGCATCCAAGAACTTTGAGATAAAGTGGACAAAGAAAGAGTTTGCCCCAAGGGATGTTGAGTGTGAGTACAATCCGGAAACAGCGTCAGCGCCTGAGCAGCCTCTGGTGTATTTCAGCAAGTATTTCACCGATGACCTTTTGCAAGATTTTGCTGAATTCACGAACAGGTATGTCCTGCAGAGAGACGGCACCGTGTTAGCCACAACAAAAGAGGAGATCAAAGTGTTTTTCGGGATTCTCATGCTAATGGGTGTTCTGAAGTACCCCCGCGTCAGAATGTACTGGCAAGCTGCCACGAGAATTCCCGCAATAGCGGATGTGATGGGTGTGAAGAGGTTCTTCAAAATCAGAGGCGCCCTTCACATAACTGACGCTAATGCAGAACGGGACCCAAACAGCCTCGACAAGTTTTGGAAAGTTAGGCCCTTGTTAGAAGCTGTGAGAGGCCGATGCTTACAGCTTGTTCCCTTGGAAAAAAATAGCATCGATGAGCAGATGGTGCCATTTACGGGGCGTTTTGCTGCAAAGCAATTTGTAAAGGGAAAACCAAACCCTGAAGGGGTAAAGGTTTTAGTGCGCTGCAGCTTTGATGGGCTAGCAAATGACTTTGAGCTTTACCAAGGGAAGGGAACAGGGGTGAGTAAAGAGCATTCTCACCTTGGACTTGGTGGTTCTGTCGTAATGCGCCTTGTTGAATACCTCTTGAAGGCACAGAACATTAAGTGCTACATGGATAACTATTTCACATCAGTGAAACTGCTTCTGGAGTTGAAAGAGATCGGTATTTTGGCTAGTGGCACAATTAGAGGAATCCGTTTGGCAGGTTGCATTCTGAAAACCGACAAAGAAATGAAGAAGGAAGGACGTGCAAGGTACGATGAAAGGGTTTCCGTGGACGGCGACGTTGCTCTTGTCCGTTGGCAAGACAATGGCGTGGTCAACATGGCCTCTACTCACCTAGGAGTCGGAAACGTTGGCGCGGTAAGAAGATGGAGCGAAGCTTTAAAGGCCCACGTCGACATCGAATGTCCTGAGGTAATTCTAGACTACAACAAATACATGGGTGGAGTGGACAAACTAGACTTCATCATGTCCCTCTACCCAATGAGGACACGAACCAGCAAGTGGCCTGTGAGAGTGATATCCTATTTTGCTTCTTTTGCCCTCTGTAACAGTTGGCTAGAGTACATCAGAGATGCCAATGCAGAAGGGTTGCTAAAAAAAGACACAATGGATATGATGGCATTTCAAAGAGATGTCGCAAACTGCCTGCTGAGTGTCAACAAGCCCCAGAAAAAGCCTGGGCGACCAAGCAGTGAGAACCCCCAGGTGATGAAAAGGAATGCACCGAATGCGTCACCCCTGCCAGTGAGCACTCTTCGCTATGACGACATCCACCACTGGCCACAGCAAATGAACATACCCAACGCACAACGCTGCAGGAGGGAAGGATGCTCATCCAAGAGCCGCGTTCGCTGCAGGAAGTGTGACATTTTTCTTTGCCTGACATCGCAGAATGACTGCTTCTACCTCTTTCACACTAAATAGACTTTTTCTGGTAACTTCTCCCAACATTACTTTGAAAAAAGTTATATTCAATTTAAATGAACAGCGTGTTTTCTTCTTTGTCGCCTTTCACTAATATTACTGCTTTGAGGCGCAATGTCGACAAATGTGGACGCTGAGCGAAAATTCAACCAATAAAATATTTTGCATTTGGTTTGAGTTTCTTACTTTAAAAGGCTTAAATATTGAAATTATGAACAAAAAAAATTTTCACGTTGCCAGATTTAATTCGCACCTGAAGGGGTTATAGCATCTGCAATTTTCAAAAATGACAGGTGATGAAATTGGTGCCTCCGTATTGGTGGTTTGATATTTTTTTTCTCGTAAGTTAATAAAACGAAGTTGACTTTTGGGCTACCTGGTGAGAGGTGCACGAAATATAAAATACTCAATGAAATCTAAAATATCAACTTTTGGACCCGTGTCGATCTCTCGTGGAATCACCCGACAGGAAATTTCGCCTTACTTGTTAGTTTCCCCAGCGTGCAGCCAAGAGTGACCATGGTGCACTCCTTAAAGTAAGGGGGCTCATAGCCCCAACTTTTCACAGTGAGGGGGCTAGCATCCCCCCTACCCCTCAGCTGATATGCCTATGACAATATGGCGGAATTAGACAGTGTCCAGAATAGCACCCCTTGTAACTTTCGTTTAATTGAATTACTACGCAGTCACCTTCCCTCTGCATGCTTCGCCTACCATCAATTACTTCTTGTGGTACGTGAGGTATCTGCCGATTTTTACTTTCCTTTCAGCCTTTCTATTCGTTCGCTCTATATTTATTTATTTTTTCTTTTTACATGATATACATCACTTTCTTATCCTATTTTTCGTCCCTTTCCCCCTTTTCTTCTAACTCAATTAAATATTAATAATCATATCAACAGCTGGAGTTTATTGCCCCACAACCACGCTATGATAATGCGGACTGCCATTGTGGAGGCCTCGGGAAATTTCAACAATCTGGCGTTCTTTAATCTGCACTGGCATCGCTCATCGTGCCAGGCCGTGCCTCTCGATCACGTCTTGCGCTCGTTCCAGGATCCGTGTTCGGATGTTCCTGTCGGTGCTGCAAAGAACCTCCCATTGTTCCTCGGTAGGGGGTAGGCAAAAGCGGTCGCTGGACGGGGGATCTTCCGGGCAGCCCCAAAAAAATGTGGTTCAGTGAGGCTAAAGCACCGCAAAGGCAGCAGCGTGGATAGATGGCTGTGTGGATGTAGGGAAAGACGAGGGGGCATGGAAAGGTGTAGGCCTGTAGGCGACTTCAGGCAGCTTGTAAATACTGGCGTGAGAGGGTGGATATTGCTAGAGGCGACAGTGCTGGGTAATGTCGTGGTAAGTGACCAGCGGCTCCGGAGCGTCCAACTCGATCCACTCGGTCGACGTATCCTCGAGCGTGTTGGTGAGCTGTCTCATTGCTGGGGTGACCTGAGTGGACCCAGATCTATTCAAAATGGCGCTGCTCATCTTGCTGCAGTATAGCGGGCGAAGAAGTCGTAGGGTGGTAGGCGATACAAGACCTCGCGAGAAATTCGAGATGGCTCGTTTGGAGTCGCTGAGTATGATAAGAACGTCGGCCGAGGTCGCAGCCAAGGCGATGCCGCTTCGACGGCGTAGGGTGTTCGAACTGTTGTGCCGGCCATGATTGCAGGCCCAGAATGAGCCGAGTAGGGTGACACGAAACTTACTACGAAGGCGTCCCTGGGTGAGTTGTAACGGGCCGCATACACGTAGGCAACGGCCGGGTGGTCAGCGTACATGCCGTGAAGCATGGTCGCCATGGGTTTGGCGGCGAGCGTCGTGGTGGCCCGTGTTGCGACTCCGGGTCGTGCGGGTCTCAGTTTGGTAGTGGGCTCCCGTCCTAGAACCCATCGTCGAACAAGTCAGATGAGGCACTCGTAAGAACGACAACAATTTATTGACATGGTTAGTAACTGAGAATTCGAAAAGAGGTGATCAAGTGATCAAGTAGAAGTCGAGAACTGAGCAGCAGAACTGTTGAACTCTAGAACTTGAAATCTACAGCGAGTCTTCCACTTATATAGCGCCACGTTGCCAACCCTGAGCGCATTGTCCTCGGCTTCAGCCAATACGGCACTCGATGGTCTAGGTGCTCCACCAATGAAGGCGGGGAAAGACGCCACACACTGCACGTGGAGAGGGCACAAGCTACACGATGACCAAATATGGTCACAAACGCACTGTGACGTCCGCCTTTCGCAGCGTTGCCTGACCAGCAATGTGTTTACAAAAAAAAAGTACGTAAAAGTCCTATTTTTCTTGACTTCAACATAACAAAATATAAAAAAACTCAAAAAATTTAGTTACTGCAATCTATTTCGAGAAACGTAGTCAGTTTGTATACGCACGTCTGTGTAACTACCACTCAATTTAGCAGGAGTCGCTTCAAGATGTTGACAACACTGGCAGTAGTCTGCGTTGTGTCGTGTTTGATTAGAGGGACCTTTCACTCTAGTTCGGCTGCCTGTTATTGTTGTTCGCGGGTCGCCGACATGGTTTTGACTAAGCGTCGAAAGCGACTGCTTCTGTTAAAGAAGAAGGTCCTTTTGGCCCAAATGATGCTGGAGGATCAACGCCAGCGGAGGTGGTGGGTGCGCCCGTCATGGAGAACGCGGCACGCCGAGAGTGAATTCTTCACCATGGTACGTATACCAGTTATCGCATTACCGCCAATAAATTACATTGCTAGTTGCGCACGCATTAAAACATTTCGCTGCGCGTTAAAACGAAGCATAATACTAACTCAAGATGGTTCCTCGTCAGAGCATTAAATGTGCATTGCGATTCTATATTTTCTAAGAAAGCGTTGTTTGAAAACGTTCTAGTCTCGTTTGTTTATGTGAGTTTAACGTTCTTCAAAAGTAAGTTGATCATCGACAGTGCGGGTGAGCTGTCAATTAAAAAGTGTTCGCGACGACAAAGGACACACGGCAGCACCTCACTCCGCGCGGACCAATCAATAATTGTGACTGCCTGGTTATCAGGCCGATTCGCGCCTCACCCCCCCCCCCCCTTTTTTTTTTCATATTAGTGCACAGCAGTCCTGTACTCAATACACTGCTTGCTCCGATAAAAATAAATATTTCATGCGTACCTTAATTCCATAAATTTTCATCCTAAAAGTGAACCACTTCTTTCATTGGTCAGATTGGCACAAATCGATTTCACCTTGCATGGAAGTCGTATTCTGCCGACCACATTTTGTTGAGGGCAATTTCGGGCAATCAGTGCACAACTACTTCTTTTTATTTACTTAAAGTTATTCGATTGTGCTTGTGACTGCCAGAGATATGATTTCTAATTTGGTCATCTGAGACTGACTCTGGAACATGCATGAAGTAATCTCCTTGGCCTGTATGGAGCAATACACATGCAATATACGCGACACATATTTCTAGAAGTGTTGAGCTATGGATATGCTGCTCGCTTAGGTGCCAGTCAACATAAATCTGCATAGTTATGTTTTTTGACCTTTGCTGGGAAAGAAAAAAAAAGTGAAATTATTGTTTCTATTTCAGATGAAAAAAATGCGTGCTGGGGACCTAGAATACTTCAAAAAGTACTATCGCATGTCCCCATCACAATTTGACTATATCCTCAGTTTGGTCAAGGACAGAGAGACCTTCATCCGAGAGCCCATATCTTCAGCAGAGCGACTTGCTATGACCCTGAGGTAATACAATTTGTCTAGAACCTTGTGGCAGTGCACTTGTATTTTAAATGTTTGTTTAATGCATGATGAATATTTTTAATGCCAAATGTACTATAGGATTACATGCATAATACACATATGTAGTGCATTACTTCACCTACTTAGTAAAATCTGTGATTTTTTCTCATGTAAACTTGCTCATAATGTTATATCAAGTATGGCAATTCAGTTTGCTTTGTCAGCACCTGTCTATGTTATCCATGGCCAATTGAACTGGCATATGTTGCGACACCCATGCACAGCAATGGACAATGTGTCATGCATAGGGTACTAAACGGGCGCCAGCACGAGGAGACAACACGGCAGCGGTAGGCAACGGAGTCTGTAGGTACCCGGGCATGTCGGTGGCGCACTTTGGAAGTGACGAAGGAGCGCTGCAAGACGCACGTGCACCCTATGTATTGAGGACTGTTGTCTTACAAGATATGCAGAAACTTACAATGTGTCCTGCAGTTCATTTCTGATTTGATTGTGCAACATCACCTTGATTTCAGCTGCATGTGGCCCTTGTGTTTGACAATATGTAAGCTGTAAACTCTCGGAACTTTCTGAAAAAACTAGCCAGCTGATGGGGCTAGGAGTTCCCCAAACCAGTTGGCAGTAACGAAGTCATGGCAGCACAACGGATAATGTTTTCAAACAAAGGCACAGCAGTTCTGTAAGCGTAATCTATGAGGTGCAGAATTTTTACACCTCTATTGAAAGCATTGCGTTGTGTTGATATATATTATGATTACGTACAAAATTGCTTTGCCTACACAGCTATGCACTTCAACTTCAATTTGCATAATTTATGCTACTTTTTAGTGATGACAGTATGACAAGAGAAATTGCTTGCCAATAGTTCCAAAAATGTCTAGTGTAGTTAATCTCTTTTACCACGTTTGTCAGTACCTCACATGGTCATCGGGCTAATTGGATGTGCGTACATAAAAACAGTGCTGCAGAATAGAATGTGGAGGGCACATTAGTTGTTTAAGGAGTACTTCATCAATGGCAAGTTTTGAGTGTTGTACGACTTCCTGTTATTACAGAGGTTTAGTGCCATGGCCCCTAAAGTACTTGCATACACAAGCTCATTTCGTTGCTTGTTTTGTTTCTTTTTTCTTTTATGTGGCCGTTGAACAGATTTTTACTTTTATGTGGCTGTTGAACAGATAGAAGAAAGGACCTGTGCAACACGATGCTCAAACAAATATCCAGTGGCCAGAGACCCTTGGAACTAAAGCTTTCTGTTCTCATGCAACATTTGTGCCTGTAATACACCTAAGGACCACATGTAATAACTAGACAGAGTATCCATACTTGGTTCGAGTTGCAATTGAATTTTGGTATGGCAATATAAAATCTTTATATGGCTCTGCAATGTCTGACTAGAAACCAACTAAATTTAAATGCAGGCATCTGTCCTCAGGAGCCCTCATGCAAGACATTGCCCTACCATTTCGTGTGGGCATATCCACAGCTCGTGAGGCCGTGCAAGAGACATGTGCGGCACTTTGGTCCAGACTGAAATCACTGTACATGCCTGTAAGTAGATGAACATGTAAAGGTGTGGCTGAATATTCAAAACTTGTAACCATAGTTTCCTTCCAATGGCGATCACACACATGCCAACAGTATAATGATTTCCATATCACAGTGTGGTGTGTGGAAGGTACAGTAAGTCATAGAGTCGGAATCATTAACAGATCTTGATAACTAATGGCCGCACAGCCGCACATTTGTAATGAACTGTGAAATGCACTTGTACATTTTAACAAAATTAAATCACAAATTGCTGACGGTCAACTAAATGAAACAGTGCCTCAATGTGGCACTAACACATGCATCAGAAGCACCACCTTTACAGAATCAACTTGTTGTGACACAACGTGGTCACTTCAGCAATCGCATGTGCAAGTTATGCTTGAAGTTGAGATGTCGCATTTTATGCCATGCCTGCTGTACATGTGTATTCACCGAAACCTAGTTGGCTGTGTTTCGTCTCCTCAGTTTTAGTTCCTGTTTCTGGAGCATTATTCGTGCCCTACCTTTCATGAGCATATTCAATTGCAGTAGTTAATTCTTTCTTCACCCTACTTGCCAGGCTATTTTATTCTTAGTGATCTTGCTGACTTGGTGAAGTGATACTAATATAACAATCTTCATTTCTTCTTTTCTTGCATCAAATGAAAGGCCATTCCCTTGAAGAACCTAAAGATGTGCTAAGTACGAGCGAGTGCAGTTAGCACTTGATTTGGTAATGTCACTCGTTAATGAAAACAGAGGTCAAAACCTTCAAGTGCCTTTCTTGAAATTCATTAATTAAATACAAAGATGATGTTGCAGACATGCAAGAAGCATGCTGTGTAGTGAGCAAAGCATACTGAAAAAGAATTGTGTGTTCTGGCTATCTATGGCACCCTGTGGCTTGCCAAATGTAGCCAGAAGTGAAAGTTAAGTCCTCTTCAACATGTCCAGCTTTGTACCTTACTTTAAAATGCACACTCTTGCATGCTTCAAGCCATCGTGAGAATTCGTGAGCTATCTTTAAGAGGAGAGGAATGACCTTTCATTGAAATAGATGCATATGGAAGGTTATTAGTTTGCCAGTGGCCTGAAGGGGTCAACAGTGCATAGCGACTCAGGCAAAAACTACAGTCGGCCATGGTACATGAAGCTAAGGTTTTAAACTGTGGACAGTTTTTGATGTTTGAGGCTTTCTCTCAGCGATAAATTGAAGCTTTCACTGGCCTAGATATCTCCACTTCCATGGCACTGATCCCACAATGTTATCATTACTGATAAAATCACTGCTTGTTTCATTTTAGGGGCCAAAGACGGAGACATGGCTGCATATCGCTGAAGGATTCAGCTGGATATGGCAGTTTCCGAACTGTATTGGGGCTGTTGATGGAAAGCACATACAGATTAAGTGTCCTCCAAACTCTGGAAGTATGTACTTCAATTATAAGGTTATTATGTATAATGTTCTGATGCACTCTGCAGATAATTTAATTCTGTTAAAATTGCTGTCTATTGCGCATGAATTTTATGTGCCTTTGTAAGCACTGAACACATAGTACGTTTCAGTGTGCTGTCTGAATGGTGGCATCAGATGTTCCGATGTGTGGAATATGATGCCATGATCTTTACAAAGCACACATGCACGTTGGTTTGTCATACAGTACATCGTACTTGCAGCAAGTATGATAGTATTCCCTAACGCTCTCACGAACTTTCTTTTGGTAACATGTATTATAACAGGGCACTCTAGGTAACTTCAATGAGAATATTCTTAGGAGTTCGCTCCAACTTTTTTTTGTCAAGTTTTACTTTGAACTGTTACAAAATAATCAAGAAATAATAGAATTGGCTTCACACCAAAAATTTTGCTATTCACATAGCTCTACCTATGTCTCTCTTCTTGAATCTAGGATGGAATGTTGGTGCATGTGCAGTTATAAATTACGCTACAGTTTCCATGCATGCATTGTTAAAAGTTAACCTTGTGTTTAATTAGAAACGCTAGATGTGAACTCATTATGTTGCAACCCCATTAATTTGGCCTCTCAGCACATCAGCATTCTAAAGCATCTCGTATAATGTTACACAATCCTATTGTATGCATACTCATTGCAGGGCACATACTCCATTGTTCTGCTTGCCGTGGTCGACAGCGACTACAAGTTCGTGATCGTCGACGTTGGTGCTTACGGCAAACAGAGTGATGGTGGAGTCCTAAAACAATCAAAGTTCGGGTGTCGCTTGGAGAATGGAAAGCTTCATATCCCGTGAGACCTGGAACTTCCGAACACGTCCCACCCAGCGCCTTGCGTGTTTGTGGGAGACGAAGCCTTCCAACTCCGCATTGACTTCCTACGGCCATATCCTGGACGAGGGCTAGAGGGTGAGAAGCGCATCTTCAATTACCGTAATTACTCGAATCTAACGCGCACCTTTTTTTCTGGTTAAGCGAGTTCATAAATCGCATGCGCGTTAGAATCGAGTACGAACAAAAAAATTACGGTCAATCTATTGCCATCGCAAATCCAAAATGGCCGCCCCCTACGTGCGTCGGCATGGTGCGTCGGCTATTTCTGCCTATGTGTTTACCATGTGCGGCACTTCGTACGTGTGCTGAGGAGTTCGTCATCTAGTAGTGCATTAGCATCGACGACGTGGAAGGGCCGACTCCAAAAACTCGAGTGCACCACGATGCCGCTTTTAAAAGAAAAGTCATCGCGTGTGCAGAAACGGACGGAAATCGGGCCGCATCGCGGTCCTTCTCGAAACGTGCGTGCGGGACCGGCGGAAACAAAAGCAGAAGATTGTCGACAGCAAAGCTTCACGCAAAGGCTTCAGTGAACCACAGCAGGGTCGGTTTCCGCAAGTTGAAGAGCTGCTCCGCGAGTATGTGCTTGAGGAGCGAGCGGCACAGCGGCCCATGACGACAGAACTGCTCCAAGTGCGGGCTATGCAATTAGTCTTAGAAAGAAGTCTAATGCGGAGCCTGTTTAAAGCGAGCAGGTGCTGGCTAATTAACTATATGAAGAGGAAAGGCTCTTCCCTCCGAAGGGGAACATGCATATGCGAAAACTTTTGCGGAGAAGTACGATGAAAAGCTTTACAGTTTTCAGAGGTTCGTCCTAAACTTGCGGCACAACAACGGCTACCTGCTTGGGCAAATCTGGAATGCCGATCAGACGCCTCTTTACTTCGACATGCCTGGCACCACAACTGTCGAGAAGAAGGGGGCGAAGCAAGTTCGCGTGCTGACATCGGTCCACGGTAAAACTACAGTGACGGCAATGCTCTGTTACACGTCAGATGGGCACAAGCTTCGCCCGTACCTCATATTTAAATGGAAGACAATCCCGAAAGGAATCGTTTTTTCGAGTGGTGTGATCATGCGGGCCAGTGAGAAAAAATGGGTGCGCGTTGCAATCGATGTCTTACGTTTTTTTTTTTTTTTTTCGCGGTGGAAATCGGGTGGCGTTACAATCGAGGGCGCGGTAGAATCGAGTAAATACGGTACCGATTGAGCAGAGCAAGGTAAATTAGACAAACCTGGATTTGAGAAGAAGTGTTCATTTTTCTTCTTTAGTCCCAATGTGTTAACTTGGTACTCATTTTGGCAAATCTGTTAAACACTTGCTTTTGAAGATAATAATGAATTTATGCCAACTAAAAATGTGCAGTATCAGCTGAGCATGAGTATTTAGTTGCCGGGTATAATATAGTTCGTTTTTCGATACCACATGCCAAAAAGAAGCCATGGACTTGCAGTATGTTTACGAACATGTTACGCCTCATTTAATCTCCAGTCTTTTAAACACTCTGCCAAATAAGTATTCAGATTTTAGTTATCGAGTAATGTTGCAAGTGTTGCATTGTTTCGAATATGGGACAACAGCAAGGGGGAATGAACAAGTGGCAAAGCATTTCAAATTTTGGTGCGAGTTGAAAGTGTATTTGTAAACTTGCTGGTGTCATCTTCCATCGCTCATGTGATGTAGAGATTGTACTTCAAGTGACTCCCTCGATAGACTCTACCCCCCTTGCTTTGTTGTGCTTCCAAGACTTTGCATAGTGCTACTGAAGTAGCAGGAAACGTTGCTGGCCGGACTAGTTGCCACTCTTCCACTTCCAATATGAACTACTGTTGTGCGGCACTTTGACGTATCAATATCTACCAAGGGAACGAATGTCTGAGATACACAATGCAGGCGAACTGCTGTGGATTTTTTTAACATGTATAAACAGCATGGGAAATTTGTGTAGATGTCATTCTGCACGTAGTCATTTAAGTCGTGCGGCAACCGTTTCTGAGCCATCCTGCGCATTACATATTCTCTACCTTCACTATAATCCCAATGAACTGAATTTTATTGGCTGTACAAATTTTCAGTGTGTTGGATTTTTTCGACAATATTGCAGTCATCACCAAGCATGAAAAATTGGTCGGGGACTGTAGCAACACTGACAGAAGTCAAGTTGCCAATTTTGTCCAGAAGTTTTGACAATGCTCTGGACTGATCTAGTTACTGCTGTGGTGCTGTGGACAAGCTTTGTTTGATCTGATATCACCATACAGGACGAACATGGTAGCCGACGTAAGCTTATAGCATCTAGTTTACGTTGTGACATGTTCCATTCTGCCCTCACATCCACAGTATGTGCATTACCATATTCCTTAAATGTGCATTGTTTAAATTTGTTGTTGCTGTCTTGCATATTTTTTGCATGCCACAAAATGTTCGCTTTGACTGTTTCGTGGCAGTGCTCCTTTAATTTCATTCACACGGGAGACAGAATTCTCGGACGGGCAGCATGTCACATGGGCTCACATCAGTGATTCTCCTTACCTACACCTCATCACAGAAGGCCGATGTGATTAACCTGTTTTTCATTGGGAGTCTAGCGACGGAAAGTTGCGGCTTTTCCCTGTGTCAATTTTGGCACCACGAAGTGGCACCAAAATTTCTGCTACTGTTGTTGGTGATTGTTCAGAAATAGAGCTGAAAGTATATGTTTACCTGAGAGTGATGGGATGAGGACTGAAGTGGTAGCTTGTCGTTTATGCTTTTTTCTTTCTTTTTTTTTTCTCCATGAAATAGGAGGTGTGCCGAGAACGCTTTCGGGATTCTGGTGACCAGATCGAGAATCTTGGCGCGGACCATGGGCGAAGAGCCAAAACAAGCTGAAAAGATGGTGAAGGCCCTCTGTGCTCTCCACAACTTTCTAATGCACAGAAGCACTGTAGATGAGGACGCATATTGTGGCCCTGGCTTTGCTGATTCTGTGGATGGCTTGGGGCAGCGGCGGTCTGGCCATTGGCGTGAGCTTCTTGCACAGCCGCCAATGCAAGTGGCTCGTACACAGGCACGCCACTTTGGCAAAGCAGCTCGGCAGGTCAGGAACCTGTATGCTACTTATTTCTTCAGTGAAGTAGGCAAAGTGCCTTGGCAGGATAAGATCTTGTGTCCTGTCAACACAGGGCCCAATGCAGCACTACCTGTTTCCCAGTGAAGACGAAATTTTTTTTAGTAATTTGATATGAGGGGTGTAACGTCCCAAACTACCATATTATCATGAGAGACGCTGTAGTGAAGGGCTCTTGAAATTTCGACCACCTGGGGTTCTTTATCGTGCACCCATATCAGAGCACACGGGCCTACAGCATTTCTGCCTCCATCGAAAATGCATCTTTTTTTAGTAAAGGTGTTAAAGAATACGTGCCACTGTGTGACCCAGCTGAAAACTATCACCACCATAAATGGGTATGTGCCACACAAATTGTGTCAATCCCACTACTCATTATTAGTCAACTAAAGATGAAGGCGGCTACAGTTGGTCCAACAAGTGGCTGTGAAGTCATGGTGGAGTGCCAACGGCATTGCGTATCAACAACGAGAAAATAACGGGGGAAAATAAAAGGCAATGGCAGCTGCGAGAAGACCTTAATTGAAGGCTGAGGAGCACAATGACTTGCCCGTAGTCTTCGAGAGGTGCAAACACTTGGTTTCACTGAGACTTTGTCTTCAAAGTTAGGGCAACCGTGTGTCTGTGACTGTTTAAATGGTCAACCTCTTCTTGCTATCTGGATGATGTCATCGTTTTCTCACCCACTTTTGAAAGCCACCTCCCTCGTCTGTCAACCATACTTGATGCCCTTCGGCGAGCTGGCCACCTTTTCATTTCCTGTTTGGCCATTATTTTTCGTTATGTTTTGATACCCTGCTTCTGTTTAGCCAACACCAATCATCACGAAACTCTACAGCATGTCTGGCTGTGGCAAAAATAGACGCACACTCGGTAGGATCTGGCATGTATAGAAAGATTTTGTTGATTTTGTGCAGTGGGTGGGAGCTTAGTAGCAGGCGTCAACAACCAATGGGTCTTCGCAATTTGTCGTCGCACTTCGACTAATGTAAATAGAGGTGCTAATCACTTCCAAGAAGCTTCACGAGAGGTGTTAATAAATTTAAAATAAAGCATCAAATTTAGAAACACAGTTCGCAAAGGTAAACAAAGTTTTTCTAACAGGCACAGAAGCTGAGAACAGTGGCCGGCAAAAGGTTGTCAGCAATAGAGGAACCAAATGAACCCTGCAGGGGAGCCTGCGCAAGTAGGCGTTTGGTGTGTAGCGACACCACGGACCCGAGCTAACGGGGGAGTTTTGACTCCCTCCCACGCCTAGGGAAAAGGGGATCCTGGGGGTTGAGCTGACGCTGGGTGATTGGACCTTTAAGACCCCCTGGCAGAGGCAACACACCCCTTTGGCCCTGGCTTCACGTAGACGGCACCCCCGGATTGACCCGCCTGGGGGGAATCGGCAGTCGCCTTTTCCTGTCTCCCCCTCACATCTTCGTCTTTTCTCTTACTTTAAATCTTTCCTGTCCTCTACTCTCTTCCGTTGACTTCCGTGTTTCCTGGCGGCAAGGGTTAACCCTGTGTGGCTCTCCTACCTTGGATACACCACGTTCGGTTATAGTGGTGGTGTACAGCTGGCGTCTGCAGGGCCTGTGCTTATAGACTCCGCAGCGTCCCCTTGTAGGACTCCATGGTGGGTGGCTGGCGCCGCTGCCGAAAACAACCTTTTCTTATGGCTAGTTCCTTCCCCTCACTCCCTGATCGCCCTCAGAAAAGAGGGCGCACCGATGAAGTCTTCCAGTTTTTTGGTCACCAGAGAGTATCCTTTCCCCGATTCTCCGTTATCCACGCTGACACACCCGGCAAACCAGTGCGAACAATTTCACCTTCTCTTATTTCGAAGTCTTTGACAGAAATCTTTGGCCCAGGATATAAAGCATCGAGAATGGCAAGTGGTGACCTCCTGTTGGAGCTCTGCGACCAGAAACAATGTGAAAAATTGCCTAATCTAGTGAAATTCGGAGATACCAAATTAATAGTAACCCCACACCGAACCATGAAAACCACCCGTGGCGTTGTCTCAGATGATGACCTGTTAGGGCTGACGGAGGCTGAACTCCTGGAGGGTTTCAGCGAACAGAATGTCATAAACGTGAAACGAATTAGGATGAGGCGTGATGGCAAAGAAGTCCAGACTAAACACCTGATACTTACCTTCAATTCAAGTGTACTGCCCGACTCCGTTGAGGCTGGGTATATCAAGCTTCGAGTTAGGCCAAATATACCAAACCCTCTCCGATGTTTTAAATGCCAGCGGTTCGGCCACAGTTCACAGAAATGCCGAGGCCGCCTAACTTGCGCGAAATGCAGTGCTAAAGAGCACACATCAGATGCCTGTGAAAACTCTCTTCACTGTGCGAACTGTGATGGGGAACATGCCGCATACTCGCGGTCATGCCCATGCTGAAAAAAGGAAAAGGAAATTGTCACAATTAAAGTAAAACAAAACATTTCATTTAAGGAGGCACGAAGGCAGGTGTCCTGCCTACCAGAAACCAGCTTTGCCGAAGTGGCGCGTCAGGGGGCAGCGCCACGACGGCCCCTGGCGCCTGTCAGGCACACGCGTAGTGAGCCAGCGGTGACGCCATCCGCCATCCAAGAAAGACCCACCAATCTCCGGACTGGGGGCCGTGAAGGTCTCGTCTTTTGAGGCGAGGCCCTCAAAACAAACGCAGCGCTCGCAAGAGCGCGTGTGTAGCGCCTCGCAAGAGGCAATGGACACAATACCGAGTGTGAGGGCGCAGCCAGCGCCTAAGGATCGGCACGACTCCGTCGACCGATCCAAAAAAGAAAAATCTCGTGTCACGGCCCCTAGAAAGGGTCCGTGAGCTAACATTCCATCCTTGAGCACACAGCACAAAACACATCTAAAATGGACACACAGATCTTACAGTGGAATGTGAGAGAACTTCTCCATCACCTCGATGATATTAGACAACTTCTTAATAAACATACTCCAAAGGTGCTGTGTGTTCAGGAAACACATCTCAAGTCCACACAAACAAACTTTCTAAAGCAATATGCCATCTTCCGCAAAGACCGTGACGACGCTGCCGTTTTGTCGGGCGGTGCCGCTATAATAGTTGATAAAACTGTTGCCTGTAAGCAATTAAACCTCCGAACTTCTCTTGAGGCAGTTGCTGTCCGAGCAGTGCTGTTCGGGAAGCTACTAACAATTACCTCTATTTACATTCCCCCGTGCTGTCAACTTTCAAAGACACAGCCCCGCCGCGGTGGTCTAGTGGCTAAGGTACTCGGCTGCTGACCCGCAGGGCGCGGGTTCGAATCCCGGCTGCGGCGGCTGCATTTCCGATGGAGGCGAAAATGTTGTAGGCCCGTGTGCTCAGATTTGGGTGCACGTTAAAGAACCCCAGGTGGTCTAAATTTCCGGAGCCCTCCACTACGGCGTCTCTCATAATCATATAGTGGTTTTGGGACATTAAACCCCACATATCAATCAATCAACTTTCAAAGACACAATTTCAAAGCTTCATTGATGAACTTCCTCCGCCATATATAGTCGTAGGTGATCTAAATGCACATAATCCCCTATGGGGCGACTCCCGTTAGATGCACGAGGACGCCTAATAGAACACTTTGTTTTCGTCAGGTGCATGTCTACTAAACAAAAAAGAACCAATGTACTATAGCACCACACACAACACATACTCTTCTATAGACCTGAGTATTGTCTCGATTACATTAATTCTATATCTGGAGTGGTTCGTTCTCAAGAACCCCTTTGGGAGTGACCACTTCCCGATTATGTTGAAGCTAACAAAAGAAGATACATGCTTGCCTGACTTTCCTCGCTGGAACACCAAGTCAGCCAACTGGGAACTGTTTCGAGAAATTACATTTTTAGACGGAGATGAGATTGCCGATTTTAACATAGACGATGCTGTAGCATACCTAACAGGTTTTATTATTGACGCTGCAGTGAAATGTATCAAGCAAACTAACGGAATTACCAATAAACGTGACATCCCATGGTGGAACGACGATTGTCGGAAAGCGCGCAATAGACAAAAATAAAGCTTGGAGACTACTCCGAAATTACTTAACGGCTGAAAACCTCGTCAATTTCAAACAGGTTAAGTCCCAAGCCAGAAGAACGCGTTGTCTTGCAAAGAAAGAGCGAATAGGTACATCTCCAGTATAAATTCTTACACCGACGAAACGAAGGTTTGGAATAGGGTAAACAAGTTATTGGGTCGGGAGTCACACCCCCTACCCTTGGTAAGTAGCCGAGGGGAGAGCCTGGAGGAGCAGGCGGACTGCCTAAGCGAACACTTTGAATACGTCTCAAGTACATCGCACTACACAGAAACGTTCTTAAGATTCAAAGAACGCGAAGAGCGGCAACCCCTTAAATGTAAACGTCCATCTAGGGAGGCTTACAACTGCCCATTTTCATTAGCTGAACTGAAGGCATCTCTTGCGTACTGCAACAACTCAGCGTCAGGTGGCGATCGTATAATGTACGAAATGATCAAGTATCTTCACCCAGAAGCACTAAAAACACTCCTAACCCTCTTCAATACCATGTGGGAAGCTGGATATATTCCAATGTCATGGAAAGAAGCGATAGTCATCCCGGTACTTAAACAAGGCAAAGACCCGTCCTTGGCCGCCAGCTACAGGCCAGTAGCGTTAACAAGCTGTTTATGCAAACTATATGAGAAAAATGTTAAACCGGCGCTTAACCCACTTCCTAGAAAGTAGCAGTATACTAGACCCCCTTCAGTGTGGTTTCAGAGAGGGGAGGTCGACAAAACACCACCTTGTTCGCATAGAGACATATATCAGAGATGCAGTTTGTACTTTCGGTATTCTTAGACCTGGAGAAAGCGTACGATACCACATGGCGATTCGCGATTCTACGCGATCTTGCCGCCATGGCATCCATGGGAACATGTTAAACACAAATCGAAAGCTATCTGTCTTATCGAACCTTTCGCATAAAAGTGGGAAATGCTCTCTCTAGATCATTTACCCAAGAGACTGGTGTTCCGCAAGGGGGCGTGCTTAGTTGCACACTCTTCCTTGTAAAAATGAACTCCCTGCAGTCAGTAATTCCAAGCGCAATGTTTTATTCCGTGTATGTAGACGATGTGCAGATGAGTTTCAAATCATGCAATTTATCTATCTGCGAATTACAAGTGCAGCTTGGAATGAGTAAATTCTCTAAATGGGCGGATGAGAATGGTTTTAAAATAAACACCCAGAAAAGTACTTGCGTACTCTTCTCCAACAAACGAGGGGTAATGCCACTACCAAATATTGCGATCAAGGGAGACCAACTCTCTGTGAGCAGTGAGCATAAATTCCTGGGAACCACTTTAGATTCTAAGCTTACGTTTATTCCCCATATTAAACATGTAAAAATGAAATGTCTGAAAGCGATGAACCTCCTAAAGCTCCTATCACGTACAACATGGGGGTAGTGATCGGAAGTGTCTCTTGAACTTGTACAAAAGCCTTGTCTGGTCGCGCCTTGATTATGCCTCTATAATTTATCATTCCGCAACGCCAAGTGCTTTGAAAATCCTAGACCCCATTCACCATCTGGGTATCTGACTGGCAACCGGTGCCTTCAGGACAAGTCCGATGCAGAGTCTCTATGTAGAGTCGAATCAGTGGTCACTTCACCTGCAGCGATCCTATAGCAGTTTCACTTATTTTATAAAGGTACGCGCAAACATAAAGCATCCTTCTTATTCAGCTATAAACGATATGACCGCTGCCACCCTCTACCATAATCGACCCGCAGCGAGAAAGCCATTCTCTTTGCGTGTGAGAAGCTTAAGTGAGGAAATGGGTGTTCCGCTGCTAGAACTTTGTCCTATGCCCACAACAAAACCTTTACTGCCGTGGCAGTGGCAGCTCATACATTGTGACACTTCATTTGCCGAGATCACGAAACACACACCAGAAGCACATATTAAGATGCATTTCCGACAACTCCAGTCCAACTACTCATGCGTAGAGTTTTATACTGACGCTTCTAAGTCGCATGCAGGGGTGGCTTATGCAGCCGTCGGACCATCCTTTTCGGAATTCGGTGTGCTGCACCCGGAAACAAGTATATTTACGGCTGAGGGTTATGCACTATTGTCCGCTGTGAAACATATACGGAAATCAAACATACAAAAATCAATTATATTCACAGACTCGCTAAGCGTTGTAAATGTATTAAGATCCCTTTTCAGATTCAGAAATCCGGTAATAATTGAGCTGTAGTCCGTTCTGTGTACAGCGTATATGTCCAACCAGCATGTTACTATTTGCTGTGTACCTGGCCATAGAAGTATCGAGGGCAATGTGTTAGCTGGCCAAATGGCCACGTCAATTATATTGCACGCTATTAACCCCACTGCTACTGTCCCTGCAACAGATCTAAAACCGTTCCTACGTAAGAAACTGCGAAACCACTGGCAACGCTTGTGGGACACAGAAATAAATAATAAGCTTCATTTGATTAAGCCGCGGTTGGGTTACTGGCCCTCCGCTACAAGAACACGGCGAACTGATGTCCTATTATGTTGCCTCAGAATAGGACACACTTATGGTACCCACAGCTTTCTTCTGATTGGCGATGAACCTCCTACTTGTGGTAGATGTGGCAACAGGCTAACCATCCTCCTGGAGTGTGCGGAAGCTGAAAGGGAGAGAAAGAAATATTTTGCTTTAGCATACCGCAATAATCTTCCTTTACATCCGATTATGTTTCTCGGTGAAGAGCCGCTTTTTGATGCAAAATCAGTTTTAAGCTTTTTAAAGGACGTAGTACTGAATGTTTTTAGCCCAATATTGAATGTTTTTAGCCCAACAGGTTCATGGCGCATCCTCTGTTCAGAGGATGCCGCTGTGATAGCAGCTTTCAACGAGCCCAGGCATCCATGCTCTTGTATTAAGGGCTCTGTCGAGGTACTGGTGCTCCATGCCAAGTTTTTATTTCACATACTTATCACTTTTAAACCATTTTATGTCTCCATAGTTCAGGTCATTTGTCATTGCCATCATTTTACTATATGTATATTTTTACACACCTACAGGGACTGTTTTTTAGGCCCATTTACAGCCACGTCACATCTGTTTTATCTACACTGCACATCCCACAGTTCATTATCATCGCTCTGGCGCTCTTTGGCCATATCTGGCCCTTGCGCCAATAAACTCCACTAATCATCATCATCAACCAAATGCCTGGCCCCGCCGCGGTGGTCTAGTGGCTAAGGTACTCGGCTGCTGACCCGCAGGTCGCGGGTTCGATTCCCGGCTGCGGCGGCTGCATTTCCGATGGAGGCGGAAATGTTGTAGGCCCGTGTGCTCAGATTTGGGTGCCCGTTAAAGAACCCCAGGTGGTCGAAATTTCCGGAGCCCTCCACTACAGCGTCTCTCATAATCAAATGGTGGTTTTGGGACGTTAAACCCCACAAATCAATCAACCAAATGCATGAGTGAGTGAGAAACCATACTAAGAAACTGCACCGAGCGCATTGGAATGGGGACAGTGCATGTCATCAGGTGCTTTCTTCTGCGTCTTCAAGGGGTAACCATGTACAATGTGGATCAGTTGCTGACAAATGGTGCACCTTGCCCGAGAAACGCACAGTCACAAAAAGCACAAACAGGCCCTTCAATGTGTGATTGTGATCAGGTTGTAGAAGGAGAGTAGAAGTTGTTTTGAGGCCACAGCACTCTGCCCCAATTTGTGTAGGTGTTGATTGGACAGCACTACGAGCAGGCAGCACAATGGCAAGTCAAGGCGGACTCCCTGTATCAGGGGCATTTGCTCAGAATAGGAGGACCAACAGGAAGGCACTGAAAAGAATGCCCAGTACAGCATTCCAAGGCTCTGCTAGGTTTTTAATATTCTTTTGTACTGTCATAAATTACTTAGTTGTAATAATCAAGCCCCTCATTACATTGTTTCCGGCGGCATCTAAAACAGTTCTCACTAACAACATGCGACACCTGAATATATATGTATGTGTAAATATATATGTGTTTAAATACGGTTATATGCATTTATGTGTACGTGTATAGGTTCTGAAGTAACGCTGTATTAGTGATATGTATGTGTTATGTTATGGTCATTTAATCCAATTAGTTATCTCTTGTTTTATCACTTACATGTAAATATCTTGAACTACCATAAGTTTCAATAATAATTTTCATTACGTTCATTTTGTTTTATTGGCTTGCCGTTTTTTCCTTAGTTGCCAATCTTTGTTCTATATTATTATACATGAATTCACAGGAGGTCCCCCTGACAGTTTTTACTTTGGGACCTCCTTCTGTATTGTATCAACATTTTACTTGCACTGTATTGTGCTGAATAAACTGACTGGATTCCCAGAAAAAAAAAACAGCTAGTAAATTTGCCTTGCTTACATGTAGATAAGAAAACAGTTATGTGGTATTACCAATGGATAAACTGGGAGGTCTTTCTGTGTTTTGAGTTTCACCATACGTGTTCAGCAACATTTCTGTTTAGAGTGTTTAGACTTTTGACAGTGACTGGTTATATTAACCAAGGTACTGTGGATGATGCTGTTATTGTATAATTAAATTAAGTCAAGCACTTCTTGTGTCATATTAACTGCAGTGTCCGGCCAATTGCTCCCAAAAACTGTCTCAATTACAATAGTCACAAAGCAAAGTTAAAAGAACTTGCAAACCTAAAATAATCCTGAACGTTTGTCAAGCCAGAAGACTCTAAACCAGGTGCTATATGCTACACTACCACTTGACTATTGGAGCTGTACTTCACTATCGTATTTGTAGTTTGTTGTTCCTTGTTTCTTTGTATCCGATCTTCCTGTGCAATTTTTTTAATGATTATTCCAGAGTATCGGCCCAGTCTCTGCATTAACAACAATATTCATGCGCTGGCTAATAATGCGGTTTGTGTTGTGTCGTAGCAGACGACGTGGGTCAACTCTACACTCTTTTAAGCGTCTGCACACGCATGAGCTGCTGCCGGTGCACGATTGCAGTGCTAGTCTCATCACGATGCGAGGTGCTCCGAGATTTCCCCTAATAACGAAACGGCCTAATAATCTATAGAACCCCCAAGCATTCAGAAAATTGCACAATATGCACCTTAGTGTCGTCCATACGAGAGGGGCACTTTTGGTGTAACAACAACGCACTGCAGTTGGCAGCATATCTAGCAGAATAGGTCTTGCTTGTCATCAGAGGCCGAATATGCAATTCTTTTGAAAGCTTGCAATAGTATTTTTTTTAACACCAAGCCTCTGTGAGGCCACGTGGCCTTTAGCTCTTCCTCCACTTTGTGAAAAATAAAAGATAATAAACTTTCTGTAAAACTTAAATAATAAATGTAAAAAAACAATAGTTGTATTGCCTATGCAATAACTACACGTTCTGGGTGCTACATGGTCTATAGCTATTCACTTGCATAATGGTTCTGCCTTGATTGAAAAATTTGTATATTGTGCTTCATATGAGAGAAAACTGTACTTCAGCGTCAATCGTTTACTCTGCCTCTGATGACCTATTTTTTATCACCGTCTTTTCACGAAGTACTAGGGCGCAAGTGCTGCTTAGGCCCCATGAAGACAAAACAAACTTTACGCATCAGAAAAAAAAATCAAAAAAATTTATTTACAATACTTCTGGCAGCACTCATTACTGTTGGCTTGCTTCAGCCGGCCCTTGGATCGTCGACAATACAGTTGGCACTTGTCCTACTTCTTAGTGCATTAGCACTTCAAGTAGGTGCATTGCCCCCTGAGGTGTTCAAGCACCTTGTCCATGTGCTCTGCCAGCAAAAGTAAAAATTGCTCTGTTCTGTTTTCTTTCTCGTTTTTAAATTCCTCATCAACTTTATCCAGCAAGCTGGCTGCTTGTTTTCTTTTGTTTGTTTTCTTTGTTTGTGTTGTGCGTCGCGTGTGACATAGTGGGATGGGCGTTAAAGGGGTAGACAGGACAGGTGTTGAGGTGGACGGTTGTGTGGAAAGGGTGGGAAGAAGGGGAGCAGAAATAGGTCGAAAGAAAAAGTTACTGTCATCTAAAGTGGGAGAAGCGGGTATGGTGTGGTCTCGTATGTCAGAGCAATAATTACTTTCGCTCTGAGCACTGGCACACCGAGGGGGCAACATTGATGCAAACACCACTGCTGCATCGTCGGTGGCATCTCCGCTCTCTTCGTCCAGGTTACTGCTTGTGCTATGAGGAAAACAAACAGCTACATAATTAGTGCCATGAAGAATACAGCAGTAACAAATACATTTCTTTGAATGCATGCACTAGCTACTATGCATTATCGCTTCTACTGTGCAGGCCCGAAAGCACCACCTTCCTAATTGCTATTATGCTGCAAACTGTGGTAACAATCTAAACATGAAGAAATCGATTCCTTAACCCTTTAATGCCTGAATTAGGAAACTGCCGAGCAAAATAAAAGTTGTTTCCATTTTCCAGCTTTAACTAGCAACCTTTAAGTGATTCCGCTGTAAAATTATCTAAAATGCAACTTTCATGCATACTTTTGTGTACGTCGCGAATTCTCCATGTGCCATAAAAGCGAGAACTTTGCAACAAGAAGCGTACTTCTGAACTACGCAACATGTTGTGCGCCACCTCTTGAGTGCGCACACACCAAATAAAGTTTTTGAAAATAGAACTTACATCAACAAGGCAAGAAAAAATGAAGTGAGAGCTGTTGCATGCGCGTCGTGCTCTTCGCCATCAGCTCCAAAACGATTGGTCCAAGCTTAAAATAACTTCGACGAGACAGTGCTAGATTTTTCTTGCTGAACGCTAAATGACCCATGAGTACTTGACAGCCGGCAATGAGGGTGGCACGCATTTTGCGACTTACTTGTTCAAAGTTTTTCATTGTGTCGCGAATTTGCAACATTCGGCAGTAAAGGGTTAAGTGAAATTGTACCAATTTTCAAATGAATGACAAATAGCAGATGAATGGTATATGAGGGGAACTTGTTGTTAGTGAAAATTTAGTTGCAAATTAGTTGAAATAGTTATATGAAATTACTTCCAAGAAGTGCACCTAATTCTAAGTACATGAGCCTCACTGATACACTTCAAGGTATAATCAGTCCAATGCTGTGTCCATTTTTTCTTTAGTATGTGTCAGTGACACTGTAGCCACAACGAAGGGAGCAGTTTGGGTGTCAGGTGTTTCCGCTCCAAGTAAAACATTTTAAAATGTAAGCTACTTTCAACGCTTCAACGTTTGCTACAAACCACAAACAAAGCTTCGACTTACGGACGTGGCTCGGTGACGTCCTTCAAGAAGAGGAGGACCACCCGGCTCCGCTCTTTTTCTTCAGCTCTCGTAGTTTCCTGGAGAATGTGTCCCTCAAATTGCGCCATCTATTATACGCAAGCTTCACATTTTCTAGAAAGGAAAAGGTAACAAAAACACATTATGCACTATTTCTCTAACAATTTTTAATGAAATATTGGTGACACAAACTGAGGAGCAAGAAAAAAGAACTCTGAAGGCAAGATGACATGTGACATTCCATGCTTTTTACTGATTGTTCCATCAATGCTTTCAAATTTGCCACTCAGATATCTCATAATACTATGCACCAAATCGGCCAACACAATTGCAATTTTAATGCTTGCAATGACAAAGTGGGCAATTGTTCACAGTCGAAAAATGTTTCCATGTTTAACCTTTCAATGCCACAAACATTGCACGAGCTGTGTACTGCGTAACAATTTCGTACTATACGTACATAACTGATGATTGATGTTAAGACAATTTGGTTGACGTTAAGACTGCAACAGCTATGTTAGACGATGCATGAAAAGTGTTTGCAAGACTTTCTGTTAGAAGTGTAAAAAGTGGCTTTCATGTGAGGCCCCTTTACTGGAGGCTACATAGCGGCTCGAGAGGCGCGGGCTCGTTTGCTCGCCACAACACTTTTATGGGGTCATAATATAAGCGCCGGCGTACATTACTTTATGAAAAGAAGTCATAGGCGCTCAAAATTAGTCATTACGTACCGTTTCCAATTACTACGGAGTGTAACCCGATGGAACGTCACTTGCTAATTTGAAACCGTAAAACATAGCTTTCCAGATTTGCCGTACGTCACGTTTCAAGGTTCGCGCCGTGCGAGTCTAAAACTTACGTGTTTTAAACTTTATCTCACGTGAAAAGCTCAGCTACGTGCGAAAAAGCGCCCTAAAGAAAAAAAATATTTGACAATGAAGTACATGTACATACCATCTGTCAAAGCAAGGCCTAGCGTGCTGACGACTCGTCTCCAGGCATCCGCACGTGCGTCTGCATTTCTGTACGTTGCCGAGCGCTGATTCCACAGTGCCGGCTCCTGCCGCACAAGTGAAATCAATAGTTCAGTGGAAAATCGGGCCGCTTCTGAACTCATGGCTTTGATGAAACTGCCGGCACCGATGCAGCCACCTTGTCAGCACAAAAATTTGGCAATATGGCAGCTCCACTAGCTGGTTCACCTGCTTCGTGGCACGTCATCATGGCGTTTCCTTCTTCGAGCTGTGATTGGCTGCTGCAATGCGACGCAGCGACCAAAATATCTGGCCGGTTTGATGCTCGCCGCACCGGCTGAGTGGCAGTGCGACGCGAGGATACGTCACAAAACGTCACGAAACGTCACCACTCCGGCAGTCACATCGTCGCACCGCACGCCGAATCGCAGAGAAAATCGCACGTCTGTCACCGCCGCATAGCCGGTGCGGCGAGCATCAAACCGGCCAGATATTTTCGTCGCAGCATCGCACCGCCGCATGTCAGCAGCCAATCACAGCGCGAGCATGCGATGACGTCACGATGCTAGTGGCGCCATCTCCCTGTCGCCGCTCCCATCACCCGTGTTCCAACTTCCAAGGCTTCAGGCTAAAGTGTTCTAGAAAGGGGTAGTGGGCTGACTAGAGGCCGTGCAATGACGCACTTTATGTCTCGCTTGGTAGATGGCGCCACCACCACCTGCAATAGAAGCGACGCGTTGCTGCTCTCGGCCAACGCAACGCGAAGGTTAGTTTGCCAGCGCTTCAAGCACAAACTACTCTTGTGCAACCCCTGTTCATAGCCATTTTCGTTGCTTTTCTTCTTTTGCCTGAGCATATTCTTGCTTTGGCCGTCGTTCTGGCGCATGAAGTATCGCTAAGCATGAGTGCGTCATCAGCGGGATGCAATATACGCTGTAAACAGCCAGTTTTGTATTGCGCTCTCGCAGTTTTATTGCCTTTAGATAATTGATTTATGAAACCACTTTCTGCTTATGAAGCACGCCGTAGTAGAGGACTCCGGAAATTTTAACGTGCACTGACATTGATTGCCTTTAGATAAAAGAAACTAATGTTTTCATGATCACTAATTTAATAAGTCGCAGAGTGGCATATAAGCGACTCACATTTCTCCACCAATATGCTAGCGTTTGTACTCAATAGTAACATTAGTGAAGTCGTACTCTCACTAAATAAAACAATATTACTACAAACTTAAGCACCTTACGCGCTCTCAGCTGATATATTCTTCTAAAATGTGCAAGAATATGTGTGGTAGTGCACAGAAGGAAAGACCTATCCTAACCATGCCCAAGAAATAAAAGTGAATTTGTAATGAAGGCGTGGAAAAAAATATAGACAAAAATCGTTCACGGGAATAAGTTAAAAGTTTATTTGGTGGGGCAGCACAATGACCGTACTCCACAAAAGCCATGCATATCAATCACTTTCATTTTTTTTTCTCAAAGTGAAAGCAGGTAAAAAAAGCTGAAATAGCTTGAAGAGGGCCTTGCCCCATCATGTACTTATCAACGTGTGCGACAAAGAGCATGTCTCCTAAAACAGCCCAATAGATGCTAGAAAAATATTCACAACTACAAATAATCACAAAGAGATGCTAAATATTTTCAATAGCACACTTGGCATAAAAAAGTTCACAAAAACACATGAACACTCAACACATATTGTTCACACAATAAGTAAAGACACTGAATCAGAAAAAATACTGAAAATGACAAATAATAGACACATTTCCATTCAAATAACATGCATTTTTATAGAGATCTACAGATGTTCTCGTAGATCATATTAATCGCACTGTTGATGGTACGCCAAGGACCAAAGTCACCATTCACAATTGAATTAAGCAGAGTTGCCACTTAGTCATGGGTTTATTGCTATAGTATGCGTGGCGAGTGGCAACATACTATTTTGCTTGTTTTTCAAATCTAGCATTCTCTTGTATTTGGGTCAGTGAAACAGAAAAAGAATATTCAGAAAGGATTCATACATCAAGTTTAACCTACACTTGTAAAATCCACACAAAAACAATATTAAAATTTTAAAAATCTTCTAAAGCAAGGAAAAAATATTTAACAGCAGCGGCTTATCTTTAAGTGCTTTGCTTTCTGGCGTTTGCCTGCTCTGTCTGTATTTAGCCCCTTAATGTAAAAATGAAATCGTGTAACAACATAGAATTGTATAATTTTTTGAGAGAGCATTGAGACATGGCTTGGGCACCCAACCTCTTGCCAAAGCCTTGCTTTCACAATGGTCAGCACATCTAAAATGCTGTCTGCATGGAGTTGTTCACAAGGAAAGCAGCCCGTGAACAAGTCTTCAAGCTTCTTTATGAACCGAAATAGGCAAGCACTTGGGTAGAGGAGTCCACCGTTGTCACGAAAGTGTCAGCCTTGCAAGCTGAAAGCTTTCGTCTGGGGCAGGCGCGGTAAGTAGTATCAAACAATCTTTACAATTGCTTTTCAAAATGCACTTTCGTGCCACGTAGCCAGCAATGTAAAATATAATTCTCGAGTCGCTCCTCGCAACATGCTGGCTGTGGTCCTGGGAAGGTATAACCAACGCCTGCGCATTCGGAGAAGAGCTTGGTGCCGAATCCATGCCTGCTGCATTTTGCGATGTGTCTCGTGGGCTACTAACTTCCAAAAGGGAACCTAGCAAGCCCTCTTCGCAGTTTCCTTGACTGACACCTTTAACTAAACCATAGAATGACATGCAGTTTACTGTAATAAAAAACTGAGTTGGTGTTGGATGATCATTACTGCCAGAAGATTGCCTGATAATACCGAAAAGGTTTTCCAAAGGATCCTGGCTAGTTTTTGCAGTCATTAGGTATTTAAAGCCAACATTTTCAGTTAGATAGTCAAGCAACTCTAGTGTACTCGAAATGGTCACACGTAGGCCAGCAGCAGTGGAATTGCTCAGAAAGCCTCCTCCACCTTTCGTATGCTGCTCCCATGCTTTGAAATAGGACAGAAAATCCTGCAGCACTCTGTTCCTGATGAACACGGTCTGAGGGCTTCAGCGGGGAACCGCGATGTCATCACTCTTATGAGCTGGTGGATTTTGCTGAAATATGCAAAACAGCTGTTTTCATAATTTTGTAGTTTACATTGCATATTGCAGCCCGTCTTGACGGCACATCCTTGCTTGAAATGCGTCGATATATTTTCGTTCAGTTCACAAAGGCCGAAAGACTTCAATAGTGTTGACCTGCATAACACCCGCGAGCATATTCCTAGGCCGTGGCTTGATACAGTAGGCCGTTCGAATAGCATAGAGCGATGAGACCAGATCCGGAGGTTGGGATGAGGTGCCGTGGCCGATGGAGGCAATTAAGGATGTGGCGACTGGTCGGTGATCGGTTGAGGCGTTGCACCTGAGGGGAACGGTGATCCTCAATCAACTCGTTGAGAGTGTTGTTTACACGAAGGCGTAGAAGACGATCCTATAGACGGGTTGGGGGCAAGGCCAAGGGCAGTCTTGTATGCCCGGTGGATGAAGACGTCCATATTGATGCGTTCTGATTTGAGGCCACGAGTATAAGGAAGGGCGCACATAATGCGGGAAACAACGAAGGCGTCAACCAGACAAAGCAGATCGTGTTCTCACATGCCTGCACGCCACGCGCGGACACGGGTGAGCATTTCTGCGGCAAGTTGTACCTAGAGCTTGTCGATGATGTTTGTGTTATGGCGGTCGGACTGTAGTATCAGCCCAAGCATTCAGAGATGGAGAATGATGGGCACGAGAGTGGCGTTGACGTGCACTGCGATGGTAGGGTGAAGTATTTTGTAGCGACGGCGGTCGGGTGGCCGCATGAGGAGGAGGGCCGATTGGGCCGCCGAGCAAGTGAGACCGGCCGCGTGCACGTCGGAAGTCATGACGTCGCCTGTGCGGGGCAACTTCTGCTCGATGTGGCCATAAGAACCTGATGTGACCCAAATGGTGACGTCGTCAGCGTACAGAGTGTGTTTGAGACCAGCGATACGGTTCAGCTTTCCAGGGAGCGTGCGGAGGGTAAAAATAAATAGAAAAAGTGACGATACGACACCATACCGGGTGCCGCGAAGGCCAAGCTCGTACGTGGGAGACGGGAGGTCCGCTATGAGGATTTCGGCTGTGCGGGCCGTGAGGAACGCGCAGATGTAGTTGTAGGGGCGGGTGCCGAGATTGAGGGCTGAGAGTTCGGAAAGGATAGCCTAATGAAAGACGTTGTCTAACGCTTTATGAACGTGGAGGCTAAGGAGAACTTTAGTGTCTGTAAACGTGGGTGGGTCAAGGATGTCGTGGTGGAGTTGCAAGAGGACATTTTGAGTCAAGAGTTGGGGGGTGGAACCCAAGCATGGCGTGGGGAAGGAGCTAGATGGTGAGCCTCCGTGTACGTTTGCAGGCGATCGAGAACGATGTGTTCCAGCATCTTGCCGACGCATCAAGTGAGTGAAATGAGCCTGAGATTCTCGACTCTGAGTTTCTTTCCTGGCTTGGGGATGAAAGCCACGGGAGTGTGTTTCCATTATTGAGGTAGGTTTCCCGATCGCCAGCACTTGTTTAGGAAAGAAAAAATTCGTGATCGAAGGAGTGTCGAGGTATCAGAGGAGCTTGTTGGGGACGCGATCTGGACCAGATGCAGAGGTGGTACGGAGCCTCGTGCCGCGTACACCTCTGCTTCTGTGATGCCAGTGTCGAGTTCTGGGTTGGTACCTCAGTTAAGGATGCGAGAGAGGGAGAATATACACCATGGGTATGAAGCTGAAGTACTTCGCTGCCAGGTCTGCCACCAGCGACGGAGTGTTACCGGGGTTGGCCCGGACCACTCGTTGTAGTTGCTGGCGAGCGACCGACTTGGCGGAAGCATGGTCAAGGAGGTGGTGGAGGATATCCCAAGTTTGTTTGCCGCCCACCTGACCGGAGAGCTCTGAGCGAAGTTGTTCGCGCTGTTGGCACGCAAGCACGGTGGTATGCTGCTTAATAGCACGATCGAGGTGTGCGATGCGGTGGCGTAAGCGACGGTTGTGACGTCACTTATGCCAATGGTTGGTAAGTCTCTTGCGAGTGGCCCCCACATGGGCAAGACGGGAGTTGATCGCGGGATGGCCCTCCGTGATAATGATTAAGACGGTGACCGCATTAATATCTCCTATAGTAGCTGGTTGATCCATGCCGAAAGGTCCT